AAAGATTCATAAGTTTAGTGATTTTTTTTATATTAAATTGTGCCAGATCTTATATTTAGGTCTTTGATCCATTTTGAGTCAACTTTTGTGTATGGTGTCAAATAGTGTTTGCTGAGCAACACTTAATCTTTCTGTAAGTTGTTTTTGAGTTTGACATGCATCTTCATCCAATAGTGCTTGTAATTGTTGGTCTTTAAACTTTTTCTGTTGACCTGGACATTCTTTGTCTTTCACATCAAAATCATCACTGTTAAAGCATTTAAATCAAGGTTCACAAGTATCTTGAGATGGAGCATGTTCACCATAAGCTTCCTGAAGTATATGATAACTTTTTCTTCAAAATAATGAATTAAAACTTCCCGCAAATGCTCTTTTTTGGACCCGAAATTCGACATTTTTAGGCGTAAAAAATATGTGATGATAACACCTTCAGCAAATATGGCATATGAAGTTTTGAAGCTTGTTGTCAATACAACAAAATAGCATACATATTAAATCGCATGTATATCAACATGTATACCTCCATCTATTGAAAAAAATCCACATTATTAACTGGTACACCTAGTATCTTCCCCGTTTCTTTGTGTCTTCTTCAACAATGTTTCAACAGTTTCTCTCAACAGTGTTTTGTTGTTTTCAGTGTATCGGTCCTTTACATCCTTTTTTTATTCCTAGGTATTTTATTCTTTTGTTGTTGCAGTTGCAAATAGGATTATTTTTTTATTTATTTTTCTGAAATTCTATTGTTAATCTATTCTATAGGAAAACAATGAGTTTTTGTACATTGATTTTATATCTTGCAAGTTTATTGTATTTATTGTTTCTAATAGTTTTTTTTTTGGTGAAGATTTTGGGGTTTTCTATATAAAGAATCATGTCATCTGCAAAAAGTGACAATTTTACTTCTTCATTCCCAATTTAGATGCCTTTAAAAAATTTTTCTCTTGCTTGCTTGTTTTGGCTAGGACTTTCAGTACTATATGTTGAATAATAGTGATGAGATTATGCATCCTTATTTTGTTGATGATCTTAGAGGAAAAGCTTTGTTTTTTTTGCCATTGAATATGATATGTGGCTTTTATTATGCTTAGGTACCTTCCTCCTATACCCAGTTTATTGAGTGTTTTAATTATAAATGGATGTTATATCTTGTCAGATGCTTTTTCTGCATCTTTTGATATGATCATGTGATTTTAAAAAAATGTATTTTATTGGTTTTTTACAGAGAGGAAGGGAGAGGGATAAAGAGCTAGAAACATTGACAGCTGCCTCCTACTGGGGATATGCCCGCAACCAAGGTATATGCCCTTGACTGGAATCGAACCTTGGACCTTTCAGTCCTCAGGCTGATGCTCTTATCCACTGAGCCAAACCGGTTAGGGCCATGGTCGGCAAACTGTGGCTTGCGAGCTACATGCGGCTCTTTGGTCCTTTGAGTGTGGCTCTTCCACAAAATAACACGGCCTGGGCCAGTCTATTTTGAAGAAGTGGTGTTAGAAGAAGTTTAAGTTTAAAAGATTTGGCTCTCAAAAGAAATTTCAATCATTGTACTGTTGATATTTGGCTCTGTTGACTAATGAGTTTGCCGACCACTGGGTTAGGGCAATGATCATGTGATTTTTATTCTTTATTAATGTGGTTGATCATGATGTATTATCTGTTTAATGGATTGTTGTGTTCCATTTGATAGTGTTTTATTTAGGACTTTGCATCTACATTCATCAGAGGTATGGGTCTGTAGTGTGTGTATGATCCTTGCCAGGTTTTGGTATCAGGGTAATATTGGCCTCATAAAATGGGTAGGAAGTATTGCCTCTTCAGTTATTTGGAAGAGTTTGTGAAGGATAGGTATTAAATTTTCTTTGAATGTTTGATGGGATTCACTAGTGAAGCTACATGGTCCTGGACTTTTACTTTTTGACATGCTTTAATGAATGTTTCAATTGTTGATTTATCTTTTTAGATTTTCCAGTTCTTCATAGTTCAGTCTAGGACGGTTATATATAATATTTCCGAGAACTTGTCCATTTCTTCTAGGTTATCAAATTTGGTGGTGCATAACCTTCCTAGTACCGTATTTTTCGGACCATAAGACGCTCCGGACCATAAGACGCACCAGTTTTTAGAGAAGGGAAATGAAGAAAAAAGAAACAAATAGTGTCCTAAAATATTTTATGTGCATTAAAACCCAACATCACAGTCATAAACACATGTAATCAACCCTGTAAAGTAAACAGCAGCATTTAGAACCATTTTAGAGCCGGGCAAGCACACAGAGACCACACAGAGCCGGGCAAGTAAAAAAACCTTTTTTTTAAAGTATATGTGTAGGCTATATGTGGACCATAAGACGCAGGGACTTTTTCCCCCCACTTCTGGGGGAAAAAAAGTGCGTCTTATGGTCCGAAAAATACGGTAACTTGTGTAGTCCTTTTTATTTCTGCAGAGTCTGTTGTAAGTTCTCTTTCATTTCTGATTTTGTGTCTTTTTTTTCTTTAGTGAGTCTAGTCAGAGGAGGTTTGTCAATTTTACTAATCCTTCTAAAGAACTAGCTCTTCGTTGCAGTAATTTTTTTATTGTCTTGTTCTCTATGTAGTTTAATTCTGCTGTAATTTTTTTTTTTCTACTGACATTGGACTTCATTTGTTCTTTTTCTAGTTCTTTAAGGTGAAATGCTAGGTTATTTATTTGTGGTTTTTGTTTCTTGAAATAGGCCTGTAATGCTTTAAGCTCCCGTCTTATTACTACTTTTTCCGTCTTTTTACAACTTTTGATATGGATAAATAAAATGTTTATGATTAAAAAAAATACTTCATACAATGAAATAGTTTTGGCAATAGATAAAAATGAAGTACTGATATTGTATATGCTACATGGATGAATCTTGAAAACAATGCTAAATGTAAGAAGTTAGCCACAAAAGATCATATTATATGATTTCATTTATTTAAAATGTTCAGAATAGGTAAATCTATAGAGACAGAAAGTACATTAGTGGTTGCTTGAGAGCTAGGGGAAATAAGAGGTTATTTGCTAAAAGGTATGGGCTTTTTTAGGAAATGATGAAAACGTGTAAAAATTTATTAAAGTGATGGCTTGCCCAATTCTGTTAATTGCATACTTTAAAATGTGTGAATTGTATGTAGGTGCATTAGATCTTGTAAGCTGTTTAAAAAAATCAAGACCCTTTCATATGGCAAAAGATACCATGAACCATATTAAAATCCACAGATGAGTAGTATAACATATAAAGTTGGTAAAGACTCAGTTTCCAGCATATAAAAGGAACTCCTAAACATTAACAAGAAATTGACAGACATCTTATAGTAAAGATTCAGGCAGATCACCTAGAAAGACATCTAAATGATCAATAAAGAAGTTTGGTTTGCTTTATATACTGCAAGGATGAAGACCATTCTCAGCAATCAGACTGTTAACATCCCAGAACATGTGGACATCACTCTGAATGCTCCATGGGCACCCTTCAGAGGGACTTCAATCACATTAATGTAGAACTCTTGTCCCTGAGAAAGAAAAAGTGGCTGTAGGGTGACAAATGGTGGGGAAATATTGGAATAGAAAGGAGCTGGCCACAGTTTGCACTGTCTGCAGTCATGTACAGAACACGATCAAGGGTGTTCCACTGGGCTTCCGATACAAGATAAAGTCTGTGTACGCTCACTTTCCCATCAGCGTCATTATTCAGGAGAATGATTCTCTTGTTGAAATCAGAAATTTATTGGGCAAAAAAATACATCTGCATAATTTGGATGAGGTAAGGCATTGTTTGTTCAGTATCAAGCTCAGAAAGATGAGTTAATTCTTGAAGGAAATGACATTGAACTTGTATCAAAATCAGCTGCTTTGATTCAGCAAGTCACAACAGGATATCAGAAAACTTTTGGATGGTATCCATGTTTCTGAAAAAGGAACAGTTCAACAGGCTGATGAATATCTAAGTTGTCCAGCTATAGAAACAATAAGATACCAAATGAATTGTCATACTTATTTGCAATATTTTACAGATGGAATAAAGCTACATATACTGGGGGTGTGTGTGTTAAAGTTTGGTTTCAAGTAGATACAATTTAAAATAAGGGTGAAATATTTATCGGGTGCCTCTTTGTGCCTGGTGCTGGAATGGACAAGAGTATAGCAGTGAACTGGATAGTGTTGAGTAGATGGAGTAGAATCAGGCGTCTTCAAACTACGGCCTGCGGGCCACATGCGGCCAGCAGAGGAGTCTGATCCGGCCCGCCAGGTTTTTTGGGCAGTGAGCGCAGCCGAGGTGTTACAGTAGGAATTAGTAGTTCATATAGTCCGGCCCTCCAGCTCTCTGAGGGACCGTGATCTGGCCCCCACTTTAAAAAGTTTGAGGACGCCTGGAGTAGATGGTATTCAGCTTTCAGGGGTAGGAAGTGAGAGCATCCTCATTAGTTTTTTTTGTTTTTTTAAAAATATATTTTATTGATTTTTTACAGAGAGGAGGGGGAAGGACAGAGAGTTAGAAACATTGATGAGAGAGAAACATTGATCAGCTGCCTCTTGCACACCTCCCACAGGGGATGTGCCCACAGTCAAGGTACATGCCCTTGACCAGAATTGAACCTGGGACCCCTCAGTCCGTAGGCAGACACTCTATCCACTGAGCCAAACTGGTCAGGGCATCAATTTAGTTTTGTAATGTGTTGGCATGTATTTGTGTCATATTACTAACTTACTTAACTATTTCCTAAGTAACATGGAAGTAACAAATATATTTTTTAGAATAATTATAATAAACTGAAAGGGAATGCCTGTCTTTCAAGAGGTTACCATTTGGAAATGATGACAGCTAATGTGTTTTTTCTTGCTAGTCTTTTGAAGATTTCAGATAAAATATTTCTCAAGTTCAGTAATCAGTGATCCCCTCCTCACTGCCCTCCAACATCATGAAAGGAAAAAGTGAGAGTCATGGGTTTTCTTTTGACAATCATTATCTCCTGATTAATTCCTTTCAGGTGGACGATCAGAATAATGTTCAACATCAACCCCCTGGAGAACCTGAAGCTGTACATCAGCAGTCGGCCGCCCCTGGTGGTCTTTATGATTAGTGTAAGCGCCATGGCAATAGCTTTCCTGACCTTGGGCTATTTCTTCAAAATCAAGGAGATTAAGTCACCGGGAATGGCAGAGGTATAGTATATTCTTTTTTTTCCTTTTCTTTTTAAAAAATCTTTATTGTTGAAAGTATTACATATGGAGGTATGGTGCATTCTAAGTTCTTTCAGGCTGGCTGGACCTTATACAAGGGAATAACCCCTTTGGGCTCTTCACACCCTTTTCTTTGTTTGTGACTTTTTATCCCAGTGAGAAAGGTCAGTATACAGAACTTTTTGTCTTTCTCTCCCTTTCAGATAGTTATTGATTCAGATGAGGCTACCAGTTTCAGTTAGAATACTTCAGCAATGAATCGGATATTTTGGAAAGTATATTTGCAAAATGTTTGTGTAAAGAAGCTAGAGAATAGCTTCCTATATTCCTACTAGAGGCCTGGTGCATGAAATTCGTGCACAGGGTTGGGGGAGGGGTTGTCCCTCAGCCCAGCATGCACCCTTTCCAATCTGGGATCCTTCTCACAATCCAGGATTGCTGGCTCCCAACTGCTCGCCTGCCCGCCTTCCTGATTGCCCCTAACTGCTTCTGCCTGCCAGTCTAATCACGCCCTAACCACTCCCATGCTAGCCTGATTGATGTCTAACTGCTCCCCTGCCAGCCTATTTGCCCCCAACTTCTCTCCTCTGCCAGCCTGGTCACCCCTAACTGCCCTCCCCTGCAGGGTTGATCGCCTCCAACTGCTCTCCCTTGCAAGCCTGGTCCCTCCCAACTGCCCTCCCCTGCTGGCCATCTTGTGTCCACATGGGGGCAGGATCTTTGACCACATAGGGGCAGCTATCTTGATCTTGTGTGTTGGAGTGATGTTCAATCTATGTATTATTCTTTTTTTTAAAATATATTTTATTGATTTTTGTACAGAGAGGAAAGGAGAGAGAGAGAGAGCTAGAAACATCAATGAGAGAGAGTCATCGATCAGCTGCCTCTTGCACACCCCCTACTGGGGATATGCCCGCAACCAAGGTACATGCCCTTGACCGGAATCGAACCCAGGGCCCTTCAGTCCCCAAGCCGACACTCTATCCATTGAGCCAAACCAGTCCTGGCTATTCTTTTTTTTAGATAGGATAGAAGCCTGATGCACGGGTGGGGGCCAGCTGGTTTGCTCTGAAGGGTGTCCTGAATCAGGGTGGAGGTTCCCTTGGGCATGGGGTGGCCTGAGGGAGGGGCTGTGGTGGTTTGCAGGCCAGCCATGCCCCCTGGTGACCCAAGCTGAGGCCCTGGTATCTGGAATTTATTTACCTTCTACAATTGAAACTTTGTAGCCTGGAGCAGAGCCAAGTCTCCTGCTCCATCTGTGGCTGCCGCCATTTTTATAATTGAAACTTCATATCCTTTAATGGAGGCCTGGGCCTGCTAGAGTGTGTGGAAAGCTTGGCTTCCTCTGTTGCCAGGGAAACCCAAGCCTCCCTTTTGGTAGCCATCTTGGTTGGGTTTATTTGCATACTTGCTCTGATTGGCTGGTAGGCGTGGCTGGTGGGTGTAGCAGATTGATGGTTAATTTGCATATTACTCTTTCATTAGATAGGATGAAATTAGCTCATTGCAGTTTTTAATAACTGTAAACATTTGTTATTTTAAACCCCCACATCATCACCATGGAGTTTTATCAATTATATAGATAAGAAGGGATCTTCAAGAAATTAGAAAATGGCATCTTATTTTCAAATACAGTTGTCTTTTTTTATCCAGGAAAACTTCTGTTGTCTACAAACTTGCCTTCTAGATTTTACATTTTGTGCAATTTAAATTATTAGGACTGTGCCTTTTAATTCTTAATCTAAGCACATAATGGTGTGAACACTCATAACACAGATTTACAGTGATGTGTATTTTTGTATACCAAAAACAAAAAGTTACTAATTCTTATTTAACAGAGGTGAATGACAATATTACCTATCAATAAATTAGTTTACATGTTAGAAATTATGTTCAATTAATGAAAAGGTGAATTTATTGGTGGATAAGTTTTCTTTTAGGATAGATTCGTTCTTCTCTTAGTAGATTCCCCAGTGCCTCCTCTTACACTTTTTTGTGTATGTTTGTTTTTGGGAGTGGGATGGGAGTAGAGACTGGAATTGCATTGTTGCTGTACTGGGTGTGCCTTGTGAAGGAGAGGAAAGTTCTACTCATTGTACAGAGGTCATTGTTTTGTCTTGTGCTCTGTGGCATTCTAGATCATAGTGATTAATTCCTTTCAGGTGGAAGGACCACCTTCACATGTGAGCTCCCTAACAGTTAAAGTAACACGTTTAAACTATTTCCACCATGAATCCCTTTCAAAGAGTTTCTTACAAGAGACATACTCACTGGCTAATTTCCCCACTTCTCTGACCCTGTCTGAATTTTTAAAGGGTGTGCAAACAGGATATATCCACAATACCTATGAAACGAACATTCTCTTTAAAAAAATATTGATTTCAGAGAGGAAGGGACAGGGAGAGAGTGATAGAAACATCAGTGATGAGAGAGAATTATTGATTGGCTGCCTCCTGCATGCCCCACACTGGTGTTTGAGCTCACAACCCAGGCACATGCCCTGACCAGAAATCAAACTGTGATCTCCTGGTTCATAGGTCGCCCCCCAACCACGGACCCTTACTGGGCTGAAATGAACATTCTAGTCATAACCCTAACTCTGCTGAATACTGGCATTGCTTCTCCTCAGAGCTGGAGTGTACGTTGAACACTCAGCCAAGGCCAGTGGTTAAGATGTCGCCTGGAAAATTAGCCCTTAAAGTGGGGTCTGACATTGGCTTTGGCAGACTGTTCAAAATGGAATGGAGCGCTACAGGAAAGCATTGCCAGATACTGCTGAACTTTGGCTATGATTAATTTAGTGATTTTATTTTCAAGGGAGGATCCTAAGTGTATATGGGAAGAGTGGGTCTGTGAGTTAGGAAACTTAATTCTTATTCTGCCTTCAACTATGGAATTAGAGAGTCCGTAATTTGCACTGGACTTCAGTTTCCTCATGTCTGCAGTATGAAGGGATGACACTAGAATGTATGTAGGTGTTAGGCAAAATGTAATTTGATACATCCAGTTGTAATCTTATTAAATGCCATATACTGATTTACTGATGCTATAGATGTAGACTCGCTTGACCGCTTGGGGATTGTTCAAATGGCATTTAATTCATGCTAGTATAAGTGTAATTGGAAGTGTTACTTGGTTTGTTTTCACATTTGGCAACTTTTTGTAGACCAATGATGCCTGGGAGAATGTCGCAACCTAGCCGAAACTGGTTTGGCTCAGTGGTAGAGCGTCGGTCTGCGGACTGAAAGGTCCCAGGTTCGATTCCAGTCAAAGGCATGTAGATTGGTTGCGGGTGCATCCCCGGTACGGTGTGTGCAAGAGGCAGCTGGTCCATGTTTCTCTCTCATCGACATTTCTAGCTCTCTATCCCTCTCTCCTCCTCTCTGTAAAAAATCAATAAAATATATTTAAAAAAAAAAAAAAAGAATGTCGCAACCTAGGTTAGGTTTGTTATTGCTGTTTCAGCTAAAATTAAAATAAATCCTGATGGGTATTTTACTATGCTGATATCAGTTTAACCATGACATAATAAGCTGTCTGTGTTTTTAAAACTACTTATGATGTAAGCCACTAATGCAGGGTGTAGATATTAAGAGAACCTGAAAACATCTTTCTCTTTTTTTCTCCATTTGGAAATTGTTTCTGTTCTAAGGTAGCAAACAAAGTCCATGACAATGGAGGAAAAATCCCACATATTGGTATTTAATTGGTTTCACATTCTTGAGAGAGAAGGCAAGGTGTATAGAATTGACCTTTTTTAAAAAAAAAATAATTATTTTTTCCCTTGAGTTTTAGAGAGAATGGAGGGGTGACACAGGGAAACTTAGATTGGTTGCCTCAAGTCTGCAGCCATGGTATATGCCCTTGACCGGAATCAAACCTGATTCAGTCTGTGGGCCAAGGCTCTATCCACTGAGCCAAACCAGCTGAGGCTAGAATTAACCTTCTGAGGAATTATTTTGAGGCAGCCTTATTTAAAAAACAAAACAAACACACAACAAAACTAATTACAACTGCTAAATGAGTTTAGATTAATGCCTTTAATGTTTTACTACTTTTGTTCAAGCTTTCTTTTCATGTTTGTTTTTGAGGCTAAATCATATTCTGTAAGTATAATACACTTTTGTTTTCTACATATTTTCTTGTATAAGTTTATTTAATTCCACAGCTATTTTAATATCTCATACCTATGAAGAGTTCATATTTTTGGTTATGAATATGAGAGTGGTTTGGAAAACCACACCATCGTGACAGTGCAACAGCTGATGGCTCTATTGTCTCTGTTATTATAAATGATTGACTCTAAAGCTGGTGTCCCCACCTTGTGATGTGACCTCGAGGGCCATGGCAGCACTTGCAGACTGCTCACACTTTTTTCTCTCTGTTTCATTTTACGGAAGGATTGGAATACTTTTCTGCTGCGATTTAATGATTTGGACTTATGTGTATCAGAGAATGAAACATTAAAGCATCTCACAAATGACACTACAACTCCGGAAAGCACAATGACCAGTGGGCAGGCCAGAGTGTCCACCCAGGCCCCACAGGCACTGGAGGATTCAGGCCCTGTTAACATCTCCGTTGCAATCACCCTTACCCTGGACCCACTCAAACCCTTTGGAGGGTACTCTCGCAATGTCACCCATCTGTACTCGACCATCTTAGGGCATCAGATTGGACTTTCAGGTATGTGTGTGTTCACAGGTTTCCTTTCAGACTTCCTCAAGCAACAGCTGTCACATGGTTTTAGACTGTTTTTGATTTTTGCATGTGTCTGCCCTTAATAAAGTGCTTGGCACGCAGTAGGCTCTCAGTAAAAAGCCTATGAAAATGAAAATGAGAAACTGGGAAGACACTATAAGGTCTATTTCGGTTTACAAACACATGCTATCATGTTGGAGATGGCAATACATACTATAAATACTGCTGTTAGTTTACAAACTTGAACATCCACCATTAGCTCAGCTTATGGAATGAACTAGTAAAAGCCTAAGATCTGGTCTCTTCCCTTTGGCATTTTGAGATTATGGAAGAGACAAGGCTAACATAAATTAATATTTATCAAGTGCTTTTAGTAGTTCTTGACACAAAGCAAATGCTATATATATATACAGTGAAACCTTGGTTCTTGAATTTAATTGGTTCTGGAAGGCTGCTGGAGAAGCTATTTGAAAACAGAATCATTTTTCCCATTAGAAATAATGTAAAATTAAATTAATCTGTTCCCAACCCACAGATTGAGTCCCTGTTTTAACCTTTCTTATATACAGTATATGTCTAATGTACTGTTTAATCTATAAACAAACACTTCTTTTAAATGTATTGAGCCACCCCCCTTACTAGCCTTAGATGAATCACTTTCAGCACATGTTCTAGGGATATCTTTCAGGAAGCATGTGGCATCTTTGCTTTTTTATATATGGCTGCCTCCGAAAATCTGTCACTGGCTAATTCATTTATCCAAGTCAACAACAATTCTTCTACCTCTTCATTTGCCTGTGATCTTTGTTTCTTTCACACCCTTAGCAACATTAATACTCTTGATGGCCTCTTATGTTTTAAAATTGTGCTAACCATAGATTTCTCAGCAACAAAAGCATTCTCTTCTTTCTTTGTTGTCTGAGAGACACTTTTTGTTATGCTGAGGTGTCAGGATGAAAGAGTTGTCAGGTTAAAAACCAAAGTTTGGTTCGACAACTGAGACATTTTTCCGTGAACAACTTAGTCAAGAACCGAATTGTTTGAGATGGGAGAGGCTGGAGAACTGAAGTTTGACTATAAGTGCTTGTTAAATAATAGTAATAAAAAGAAATACCTATAAAACATTGAGCACTACCCTTTCACCAGAACCAAACCCATGACTGACTGTAAGTGATTTAGGACAAGGTGAGAGAGTAGTGGAAGAGGGACTAATCTGGAAAGGTTGCATGCTGGAGGCCCAGGCCTTGAAAGAATAATCTGGGTTACCAAGAGCCTTTTAAAGTCCAGGTTGGGAGTGCCCGCCAGCCTCCTATTGGTTGTTATAGGTGAGAGCTGTTCCCATGGAAATAAGGTAAGGGCAACTTCTGGGTTTTCTGTGTTACAAGTAGCCCTTTCTCTTCTGCTGTGGTGTTATGTACCTTGGTTTTCATTTAAGCTTCATCACTTACTGGTCCATGACCTTACTTAAGTCTGTTAGATCCTCCGCTCCTCAGTTTGCTCATATGTAAAAGCGGAGCAGTAATGGGATAGTGGTACATTTTGTCATGGGGTAGTGGTACATTTTAAGTGAAGCAATAAATATAAAAGCAGTTTGAAAATGGAAAAGTGCTGTGCAAATGCTAACACAGTGGGTGATAATAACCCACCCAGCCCCCAGCTTTCCAGCTGGGCACTGCCTGGGCTCTTAGCACTCCTAGGTCTGGCTGAAAGTGGCCCCTCTCTGCTTGCCTTTTGATAGCTCTGCCAGGTGAGCAGGCCTCAGAGTCCAGCTCAGAACTGGTGGTGGTCCTGAAATCCCACAGAGGTGATTCCTGGGTGGGTTTGATGTCAGGATTCATTCAAATCCTAGAGAATAATAAGTATGGGTTCTTGCCTTTATCAAAATAAAAATAAATCCACCGTGATTTCTCATCCATAGGCAGGGAAGCCCACGAAGAGATAAACATTACCTTTACCCTGCCAGCAGCTTGGAGTTCGGATGACTGTGCCCTTCACAGTCACTGTGAGCAGGTGGTGTTCACAGCCTGCATGACGCTCACAGCCAACCCTGGTGTGTTCCCCGTCACAGTGTAAGTGGTTTCCTAAGCCCATGAGTATGAGAAGCTCCACTGACCATGAATGTGATTGGGGTGCTTTGGCAGAAAGTTCCCGGGGGGGCTCACACTGCATCCCTTTAACTGGACCTAACAAGTTCTTTAAGTTTAGTTTGGAATTCTGAGGTAGAACTTCTCGTGTAAATAGCAGAGTTAGATCCTCAGCAAGGTTGGTTGTTATCGCTTGTTCTAAGGCTGCCTCTCCTGTTGGTAGAAGAAGCACGTCACAGAAAAGATAGGAAGGGTGGATCCCATGACTAGAATGACCCAGAGTTAAGGCTCCCAAAAGATTAAGGTTTTGTTCACGTCCATTATCCAGAAAGAGTTATTTTTAAAATTGAGAGCACAAGTAAAATCTTATTTTTTATGAAACAGTTACTATTTCTGGAACTTTTGCTGCTTATATTTTAAGCAGTTGTAAAACTGTCAGTATTACCGTTTTGCCTTTATATATATTTTTTGCCTCTCCTTTTTCTGGGAAGGAGATAATGATCTATAAATACATGAAATATGCTAGATGTAGCCTATTTTAAAAATCCTATGGTGAATCCTTTTTCAGTAAGAATAATTAGTCAGGTATTTGTCTAATTTAGACATTTGGAGGTTTGTAGGACAATATCAGATAAGTTAAACATTATTTGCTGCTGTTCCCATTAGAAATGATATAATGTAAATCTGCTGGAGAAGTTTGTATGTCAGACTTCCTGTTGTAATTGAGAATTGGGAAAATGGCTTAAAAGGAGCAGGTTCTTCTTTGGCCACATCATATGCAAGTGGACTATGAAGGCAGAAATCTAACACGTAAACTCTTCAATGCTAAATGCCTATTTCTTATATGTTTATTAAATAAATAATAAAAGGTCCCTGAGTGAAAAGCATGGTATTTATCTGAAACATTTATGTCTTCTGTTTCTTCCTTCCACATGTTCGGCTGTGGTCAGTGTTGGGCTCGGGGTTGTGAGGAAAACAGTAAATGTCTCAGGCCACTGAGCATGTCTTTCCCCGTCTCCCCCTGCAGACAGCCGCCGCACTGTGTTCCGGACACATACAGCAATGCCACGCTCTGGTACAAGATCTTCATGACTGCTAGAGACGCCAACACAAAATATGCTCAAGATTATAATCCTTTCTGGTGTTATAAGGGGGCAATTGGAAAAGTCTATCACACTTTAAATCCCAAGCTTACAGTTGTTGTTCCAGATGTAAGTGAGAAAACTCGTGTATGCGTGTGCGTTCAGGAACTGTTAGAGTAGTGGTGTTTACATGCTTGGGTTAGCTTAGCCCCTGCCATTTCAGATTCCCAGCTGAGTTAATAAAAGGCTAGGAGGAGTGGTGGACACTTGGAAAAACATGCCACTTTTTTGGTTAAGAAAACTGTTTCTGTTTTTCGTTTTCTGCTTTGCTCAGCAGCGGTTACTTATTGAGCAGCTGTTGTGTGCCTAACCCATGGGGGTTATAAGAAATGCTTGTAGTCTCACATGCACACAGCCGCTCAGAAGAATATTTGGTTAGTGTTAATATGAGCAGGGAGTGGTTCGGAATTCATAAGGGTAAAAGTGAATCTTTGGATAGTGAGGGCTGAATAGGATGTTAAGGACGAGAAAAAGGGAGGAAAACACTGTAATCTAGACTAGTGGTTAACTTGCTAGTTTAGCTTCCAGCTTACTAGTACACTTGAGCCCACTTTTACAGACTACACTGATTTTTTTTATAGGTGCCCTCTTCCTGTCAGTATATGTTAGGTGGATTTCTTGCCTTTTTACCTGGCCCTTTTTATCAAGTTGTAGAAGTTGGTAGGCCAGGAGGCTGTGGAGTGATCAGTGGAGGTCAGGTTCCAGAAAGTCCTTTGTGCCTTTTGAGGCATTTAGACTTTTTCCCTAAGAGGAGGCAATCCCCACCCGTGTTGGGCTGTAGGGGGATTTGTAGACTGGTCTGCCCACCTGATTAGTGTAAATGTCATGGGGCCTGGAGATTTGGGAAGGAAAAGGAACGGAAGCATGGCCCGGATCTTGCAACAGCTGGCAGGGTGATTGATTGCATGTGGGAGGTGAAAGATGTTTTGGGGCAGGGACTTGTAAAAGTGGGGAAAAGGCAGAAGGAAGGAAGCTGCCTCTGGGGAGAAGTGGTGCAGAGGCCTTCCTGGTGGGGTAGTTATGAGGGTGTCAGCCATGCACCCTGAAGGTAGTCAGAGGAAGAGGACATAAGAAAGAGTGAGGAGTACAGGTGTGAGAGCCTTCTCAGGGGAGGAGACCGAGTGGGGGAAGGGGAGGGTGCTCAGGCAGTGTGGGGTGCAGAAGCCAGGGCAGAGAACTGCTTTAGGAAGGGATATGAGGTGGTCTCAGGAACATCATGTCTTCACTGAATGGGAGCCAGCTCTAGTAGTTTAAGAGGAGAAACATCTGTTCCAGTTTAAGAATTAAAGTTAAAGCATATCTGGAGGTGATGAACTGTATCTCTAGAAATCCAGCATAAAATTTTCAGTAACTCAGTGCTGATGTTTCTGGTTTATTCCCTCTAGGATGACCGTTCATTAATAAATTTGCATCTCATGCACACCAGTTACTTCCTCTTCGTGATGGTGATAACAATGTTTTGCTATGCGGTTATCAAGGGCAGACCTAGCAAATTGCGTCAGAGCAGTCCTGAATTTTGTCCTGAGAAGGTGAGCATTGGATGGGGTCTGGGCCAGCATTTGGCCAGAGGTGTCTGTGGACAGAATGTCTCACTCCTTACTGTACTGATTGTGAGTGGCAGTTTTCCTCCAGAGAAATTAGCTTCTGTCTTTTTATCAGAAGTAGTCTTCTACCCTCAGTCTAAATTATGGTATTGGGTTTTCAACCCAAACCTTAGCTGTAAAAAGTACTGTCTATGCGAATTGCTCTCAAATCCCCATTGGAGAGCAGCTGCCCCCCTCCACTTCATCAGCTTGAGAAATCATCTCACACAGTGCTGATCAAGGTTTGGAAATGGTTAACCCTTGAAGTCAGCACAGTGGTTCCACTAGATCGGTAGGAGACTTAAATTTCTTTCTTTTTAAAAAAATATATATTTTAATGATTTTTTTACAGAGAGGAAGGGAGAGAGATAGAGTTAGGAACATCCATGAGAGAGAGAGTCATCGATCAGCTGCCTCTTGCACGCTCCCTACTGGGGATGTGCCCGCAACCAAGGTACATGCCCTTGACTGGAATCGAACCTGGGACCCTTCAGTCTGCAGGCTGACGCTGTATCCACTGAGCCAAACTGGTTTCGGCAAGACTTAAATTTCTATTCACTCCTACCTAGATGAGTTTTTTTTTTTCTTTTCTGTTTTTTTTTCCCCCCTTAGGGTTTTAATAGTTCCACTCCTGGACAGGTGCATGTGGTGCGGCTCCCTGGTCTTGGATGGGGACTTGGCTCCCTGGACTCTGTTGTGTGACTGGGTTGTTTGTCTTCTAGGTTGCTTTGGCTGATGCCTAATTCCACAACTGCCCATTTTCTGAGAGAGACTGAGCAAACTGTAAGCATTGCCTGCTGACGCCAGCCTGGGCCTGGACACTCTGTGAATACATTCTCTTGCAATGTTGGGTTATTCCAGCCAAAGACATTTCAAGTGCCTGTAACTGATTTGTATATATTTATAAAAATCTATTCAGAAATTGGTCCAATGATGCACGTGCTTCACACTTGGTGCAGTCCGAGCCCCGCAGCCTCCCCTGTGGACTTGGTGGGATGACCCACGTAGCGCCAGCGGCGAGCTCCCTGCCTCAGAGAGGCCATGCCGTCTTTACCAAGATCTCAGGGGCAGTTCATTGCTGGAGGGTTGAGGTTTGCTTTGATTTGAAACAGTCTGCACCTTTGACATGATACTGCATTTCCCAAGCCACCAATCCATTTTGTGGATTTTACGTGTCTGTGGCTTAATAATCATAGTACCAACAATAATACCCCTTTCTCTGTTTTGCTTGCAAGGAAACACATATCTTTCTAAATTTTCTTTTTTTCTTTAAAAAAAATAGTCACATTTTAATACTACTCTAGGTAAGACAAACTTGTTTCTTTCAAAATCTTGAGTAAAATGTTCAATATTTAAAAGTCACCTAACATGGTAAAGATCTAAGTTTAGTTTCCCACAGGAGTTGTGAGGAACCTGGTCTTGTGGAGTTTAGTTGGCACAGCAAGTTCCACTGTCTTTTTCCCCTCTGTTGTCGCTTCCCTTCATTATAAAAATTAAAGTAGCTTCGTCACTCAAAAGGGCTTAAAAAACCCTGGCTGGTTTTCTCAGTGGTTAGAGCATTGGTCCGCGCACAGAAGGGTGGCAGCTTCAATTTCCAGTTAAGGGCACATACCTGGATTGCAGGTTCGATCCCTGGCCCTGGTTGGGACATGTGCAGGAAGCAACCAAACGATTTGTCTCTCTCACATCTATGTTTCTCTCTCTCCCTCTCTTATCCTTTCTTCCACTCTCTTTGGAAATCAATGGAAAAAAATATCCTTGGGTGAGGATTTAAAATAAAAAAAAGGGCTTAAAAATTAAGTAAATGTCTCTAGAGTAGAGTAAAAATTAGCTGCTCTATTTTTTAGAATGCAGATGATACTATGGAAAGAGAATGATGATTTGGTCTAATAGTAATGAAAGGATTTCTTGTTTTCTTTGAAAAGGGAGTGGTATTTCTTTCTTCCTTCATTTATTTATTTATTTATACATTTATTTCTATGCAGTTAACGTATCTTCAGAAGGAAAATGGCAACTAGTAGATTACTAACTTTACAAAAATGATGCCTGTGAAATCTGAATGAAAGCAGTTCTGATTTGCCATTTATCAGGAAAACCCAAAGCATTTTTCTTTGCTATAACATTCTGATGATCTGGTTCCTTTACCCCTTTTTCCTTCTAATCCATTTTCATTAAAAAAAAAAGTTACGTATTATCTTTTCTAGTCCTCTTTTGTTACTTGTATTCCGTTTTTTTTTCTTTTTCTTTTTTTCCCTTCACTGTAATTAATGACTTCTGTGTTCTTGCAAGCAGTGCTGTAGCAAAAGGGCAAGTAAAACCTTGGGCATGACTTAGTACTTCTTCCCTTAATTCCAGGCCTGCACAGTCTGTTCTGAATTAAAATCAGCCCTGCAGTCTGGAATATAGATTGGCCTGGAACATTTTAAACCAGGCATTCTTGAATGGAAAACAATTGTGGGCTTTTACTAAAGATTGTTAAAATAATTATTAAAATATGTTAATATATATTTGTTCCATTTAGTACATTTTAAGCACAATAATCAGACTTGCCTATCCAGTTATTTGTATGATATGAGTTGCTTCCATGATGCATGGCTAACTTGTTAGTTTAGTTTTCTGTTTGGAGACTTTGAGGATCTTAAGAAATAAGATTGTGAAAGCCTTTGGGCTTGGCCTTTAGAAACATCACTATCTTTAAGATTTTAGGTTAAGCTGCTACTGAATTAATAAAATCCCAGTGAATGGAGTACTAGGGATAGATTTATAACTGTCAGAGTAATATAAAAGGAGACAGACAGGTGGAAAAAGTCAATTTCACTGGTTTATTCAATATAACTTGTTGCTAATATTAATTGCCCTTATTTTAATTACAGGGAATGGCTGGAATCTTTAGCCAGGGGAGGAAAAACACTGTTAGGAGTGAGGAAAGGAAGTGCCAAAAATGCCCGGACAGTATGACTTGTCGTGAGGCGTGGACACACACTTTAAAATCCGGCCTTTACCCTAGAAGGCAAATCTCAAAGGTCTTGTGGAAACCCAGAGTCAGTCAGTTATATAGAGAAAGGCTGGGGCGGAGGAGGGAGGCTATGTACCTGCTGGGTAAAGAGGCCTCCTAACTGAAGAGACTTCCACTAGGAAGTCCAGGGGACCTGTTGCTGTGGGGCACTTGCAGACAAGGCCTCTGCAGTGTCTTGTTGGGGGCTCCAGGATTCCAAGAGTGCCCCAGGCAGGGCCCGTTTGCCATTCAGGGTGACCTCACCCAGGAGCACTGGCTCGTCCTCAGGCATCTGGGACTGGAGGTCCAATGAAAGGTCAGCAACTTACTATTAAAGTGGTTGTTTCAGATCATATTGATCTCTTTTCTTTTTCCTTTTGTCCTTTCACTGTATGACTTGAATCAGTTTTGATTCTATTTGTAAATTTTTCTCATCATTAGGAACCTGCCATTTCTGTTGCATTTTCTTTGGCAGTCTGTAGGGATTCAGCATCCTGGTTTTCAGCCCTCCTGCAGGCACTGTAGGGTCACAGGGGCCACTGGATCCATTTCACTTCTCTTGTTGCATGATGGTCAGTAGCTGATGTTATGGCATTCACTCCCAGATTAATTTTTCATGTTTGAAATGTGTGCATATGTGCTTTACCGAATAAAACATCTGAATTTATTTGCTGTGTCTCTGTTTCCTCCTGTCTGATGTTGTTTTCTAAGGCAAGAACATCTGTAATAATAAAAGGGTAATATGCTAATTAGACTGGACATCATTCTGAACGTCCTTCCTAACGAAGCTGGGGCTGGGGGAAAGCCAGTCCGGGTCCTGGGTGCCTGCGGGCGGCCAGAGGATAGAAGCAGCCCAGGTCCTGGGGCTTCTTGCGGCAGGAGAGGGAAGCAGCCTGGGCCCTGGTGCCTGCCGGCGGCTCCTGAGCCCTGGAGAGAAGCTGGTGCCGGCAGCCAGGGGGAAGGAAGGCTACTCTTGCATGAATTTTGTACATCAGGCCTCTAGTATGTGATAATTAATTGAGGGTTTTTGAAGTAGTTCTTTCAAAGTGTCACCTATCATCAGAATGGGCAGTGTTTACTACTAAGCTGGTCTCATCAAGCACACAGATCTTCCTGAGAGCAAAAAACCTCTTTTAGTGTCGGACCAGCTAGTGTTTGCAGACCTGACCCAGATCCTCTCCTAAAGAAGTGATACAGGGAACATGGAATAGGTGTGGGAGTGCAAAGACATTCTTCTCAGTTACATAAACCCTTCGAGTGTGGCTGGCCTTAGTTACCAGAAGCAGACTCCTCGCTGGCTCCGCCTTCTGTTACAGAGCCCCTGCATGTGCTAGACTTTCTTTGCCAGGGCACTGCATCCTCTGCACTTAGTTGTTGATGGGGAAATAGAGTTGTTTGACCATTGCAAGGATAGATGGCTGGTCAATTAATTCTAGGGGGAAAAGGGATTGAGTTTTGCCTTTGATATTATTTAGCCCCTTTACTCTTGCTCGCTCAGTATATAATCTGTTGGCAGATAGTGACAAGATAAAGATAGAGGATGATGGCTATGATGCTTTTGTTGGGGTGATTGCAGAAGGCATCTTGGAAGAGGTACAATACGAAGGCACATGCAAAAGAATGGATTTTGCCTGGGCATTCCATGCAGAGGACATGGCTTGGCCCTGGTGCAGAGGCTGAACTCTAAGGGCCTTGGCTTCGTGCTAGGTGGAGAATAGGAGTTGTGTAAGAACTTGTTTCCCCACCTGAGGACAAGATGCCCCCAGGTTGCTGCCAGAGTGGCCCCATTGAGGTGGCCTGGGCGGGGGAGGGAGGGTTGTGCAGGGAGTTGCTCTACCACCACTTGGTCCAGGAAGGGAGTTCTCTGAACTGAAGTTCAGCATGGCAGATACAAGCCCTGCTCCAACTCCTGCAGGCCATGTAACTATGGCCGAGTTGCTGAACCCCTCTGTGTCCCAGTTTTCTCATCTATAGAAAAAAGGATAATAGTACATACTTGAATGTGATGAGGATTCAGCAGGTCAGTTACTACAGAGTGTATAGAACAGTGTCTGGCACTCTGTAATATATACTAATAATAGCCTAGGTGGTGTCACACCCTCATGTCGTCATAAGATGGCTACACACACAATGGAGGTGGGGCTGCGAGGTGAGGCCTGGGGGTCCCACAGCTCTGTGTGGTACAGAGGAGGCTGGTCCTGGAGAGGAGGCAGGCTGGTCCTGGTGGGGAAGGCAGTTGTGGGTGATCAGGCCATCGGGGGAGGGCAGTTGGGGGGCAATCAGGTCTGCAGGGGAGCAGCTAGGCATCAATCAGGTCTGCAGGGGAGCTATTAGGGGGCAATCAGGTTGGCAGGCAGAGGTGGTTAGGAGGCAGGCGAATGGTTAGGAGCCAGTGATCCCTGTTTGTGAGAGGGATGTCTGACTGCTGGTTTAGGCCTGCTGGGATGATCGTGGCCAGCAGCCACCTCTCACACCCACTGCTGGCGCTGGCTCCCCTAGCATTCACTGCTGGCGCCTGGTCCTGATCGCCCCTGAGGGCTTCTCTATCTCCACTCCTGAGGGGTGATTGGGGCAGCAGCCATCGCTGGCACTGGCCCCAGTTGCTCTGCACAGTCAGCGGGTGTGAGCAGGGCCGGTGCCATCAGCTTGTGGGAGCGGTGGTGGCGGGAGCAGGGCTGCTGGCAGATGGGACCAGGGCCTCAGCAGAAGGGATGGGGGTTGGAGGGGCGGCCTGTGGAGGATGGGCCTAGACCCAGCTCTGTGACCACCACAGCCTCGTGACCCACAGTTCCTTTCAAGGTGCACGAATTTGTGCACTGGGCCCCTAGTGTTTATTATAATGGGACATTATAATAAGAGTGAGGGGAGGTATCCATGAGTGAAGCTGATGGGTCACCTGTGGCCACCTTTTGGTAATGAGAACTAAGAAAGCAAAGATAATCTCCCCCGGCTTTAGTCTTCCGTTAACAGTGGTGCTGCTTATGCCATGGATTCATAGCGTTCATTGAGTGTATGAGAATTGATGCCTGAGGATATTTATATAAGGTTTATGAAATGATCATTGCCCTGCATGTGATACATACTGATACTCTAATTTTAGTCTTTTCTACTTAATTAAAAAACTGGCCTGGACCTCTAAATTGATTGCTTGGCCAACTACTGGCAGGCAGCCTGTGATTTAAAAACACTGGTATAGATGATTTATGAGAGCCCTGAACAGCTTAGAGATTTCTGATTCTAAACTCCAAGATGCTAGCCTTCAAGAACTAATTTTGTCATTTTGAGCAAGTTACAATCTCTCTAGTCTCAGAATTTTGGAGCCTGACATCTTGAAATCACATTGACCAGCCCTTCATTTTAAAGATGAAGAAGCCATTAATCAAAAACAAAGGATACTTCTAATTAAAACCTCTATGTCTTTAAATGCTTTCTTCATTCAGCAGTTCATCCCTCTCCTGCCCCTTCATCACCAGCCTACAACTGGAAATCCCTCTCAGAAGTGCCTGACTCTTGATCCTTTTGTCCTTATCTTTCAACCAAATCTTGGCATCTACCTCATACCAAATCCATGACCATGTGACTGGTTCACATTGCCACATCTTTGGAGATGCTGGGTAACCCACCTCTCCTCGGCCCAGGGGTTCACACTTGGGCACCTGTGATGGACACTGCATTGTCTGTTACCTGGAATGGAGCTCCTTTTTTCTCTGGCTGCTCTCCTGCTCTAGGACTGCCAAGGGCCACTAGTGCTGGGCAGCTGCAGGCCACCAGTGAGCACCAAGAGCAGACTCAAAGTCACACTATGGCATCAGGGACCTTTTGGTCTTTTCTAGCTCCTTGAGCTCAACCTTCTTTTATAAATGTTACTATCCTGGAAAGAGAGGTAACATCATCTACCAACATGTCATTTGAGAAAAATATAGGACTAACTGAAAAATAAAGAATAAAAGGAAAAGTACCTAATGAACTCATGTATTTCAGTAAGTAATGGCCTGGGCACAATTGCTCTTGGAAGTGATGATGACTGGATTAGGTGCTTGTACCTGCTAGGGGATTGCTGTGAATGGGACAGCTCTACATGCAGTGTGACAGGCGAGGTGTTGAATGGGCCACTCTCAGACTCCTGCGATGGGGCTGCTGGAGATTGATTTTTGTTGTTTCTCAATAAAACAAAGTACACTCTTCCCTCAGTTGAGTTGCATTTCTAGAGAATACTATGTATGTGAAATAAATATTTGTGCAAAATAATGTAAGGGTCCAGGCTCAAGTGATTATGAAGATTTCCCACCTCTGAATGTTGGATAAGACACTGGAAGCCATGTGAAATGTGAAATTTGGCCTCCGCATCCAGGGAGTGTTCCCCTGTTATTATGATGACCAAAAGCTTTCCCTAAATTTCCAGAGTCCCTTAGGGATGTCATCACCTTGTTGAAAACCCAAAGCAAGTCCACCAGCCTATGATATATGCCTCTTCTGCTCTGGTTTGCCCGACTGTGGCCCAGCTTCAGGCTGATGTGGGGGCCTTGGCCCTAGCACTACAGGAGGAAGAGGGATTGGTCCCAGAGGACAGTCCTTGATTTGCCTACTGCCCCAAAGATGTCCATTTGGTATTCATGGAAGCCCAGGTGTCATTAGGCAGGCATTGGAGTAGGGAGACAAATGGTGCATTTTCTGTCCACTTTCCACCCCAATGCACAGAATGCCATGGGAGCTAGAAAAAGGAATCACTGATATTACCCACAGACCTGTACATTTTCACCATATCCAGATACAAAAATAATAATAGCCTGTAGCTATTATAGAAACATGCTGTGAGTTGGACTGGGTGGGTGGCTTGGTTGGATGATTCATTGGGTAGAAGTAATATGGACTGGAAACAAGCCAAAAGTACACAGCGGAAAACCAAGAGTTTGGCAAGAAGTGTGCAGTATCTGAAGAATGTGGGCTATGCAACTGTTGGCAATAGTAATGTTAGAGAGTTTGGCCTGGATTGGACTCTGAATAAATGAGAGATGCTAAAAGCTTAAGCAAGGCAAGTAAGACAAAACAAAACAAAAAATAAAAAATACCTTGAGGTGCTCTGCCCAGAATCTGAAAGTATAGGCAACAAATAGAAGTAATATGCACATGTGTGGATGTAGGTGGTTTTTAGAGTAATGCAAATTAAAACCACAATAAGTTACTACACATCTATCAGAATTGCTAAAATAAAAAGTAGTGGTAACATCAAATGCTGATGAGAACACAGAGAAACTGAATTATTCATATATTGCTGATGGGAATGTAAAGTGGCAAGCCCACTCTGAAAAACTGGTTTCTTATAAAACTAAATATGTAACTACCATACTACCCAGATTTGTACTTCTGGGCATTTATCCCAGAGAAATAAAAATGTATTTTTATAAAATAAAAAAACCTTCCCTAGCTGGTTTGGTTTAGTGCTGTGGTTGGTAAACTGTGGCTTTCCAACCATATGTGGCTCTTTAGTCCTTGAGTGTAGCTCTTCTACAAAATACCAACAGAGAAAAAGGAATTAAGACCAGGGTGGAAATAAATAAAATAGAAATTTAAAAATAGAAAAGATCAACTAAACCAACAGCTGGTTCTCTGTTGGAAACAAAACTGACAAAAACTTTAGCTAAACGCATAAAAAAAATTCAAATAAGATCGTAAAGTTACAGTCAATGTAACAGAAATACAAGGAATCATTAAATACTACAAACAATTATATGCCAACATATTCAACCTTCTAGAAAAAATGGATAAATTTTTAGAAGAATATAACCTTTTAAGTCTGAAACAGGAAGAAATAGAATATCTAAAGAGACCAATTACTAGAAATGAAATAAAAACAGCAATCAAAAAGCTTTCAACAAATAAAAGGATCAGACGACTTTACAGGTGAATTCTACCAAACATTCCAAGAACAAATTCCTATCCTTAAATGGTCCCAAAAAACTGAAGAGGAAGAAATGCTTCCAAACTCATTCTACAAAGTACAGAAAAATAAGTAACGAATAAACAAAACAAAACTGACTCATGTAGAGAAACTGATGATGGTTGCCAAAGAGGAGGAGGTGATGAATGAAAAATGATAAAAAGCAATACTTTTAAAATTAAAAAAGGAAAAGGACATTGGGAATTTGTTGGATGGGAGTGTTAATTGCACTTACCAGGTGAATTATATTTTTAATTCTTGAAAGAATTGCATCTCATCCTCAATAACATCAACATCTCACCTGCCCATCCAACTACATCATCTTGAATTTACTTCTTTATATTAAGAATTGCAACTAAAGTGGAAATGAAAAGGTTCCTATGCCTGGATTTAGAGCTGTGTACCTTTGGATGTGGAATGTGGGATCCTTCCACAAATGTTTATATCGATACATGTTTTCTTTCCCTTGCAGTACTCAGTTTCATTTTGGTCCAGTTAGTTTATTTTTTTTATTTTTTTAAAATATATTTTATTGATTTTGTACAGAGAGGAAGGGAGAGAGATAGAGAGTTAGAAACATCGATGAGAGAGTGTCATCGATCAGCTGCCTCTTGCACACCCCCTACTGGGGATATGCCCGCAACCAAGGTACATGCCCCTGACCGGAATCGAACCCGGGACCTTTCAGTCCCCAAGCCGACGCTCTATCCATTGAGCCAAACCGGTCCCGGCTAATGGTCCAGTTAGTTTTAGAAGAGGCCTTAAAATAGCTCTTACCAAGTTCTGATTATCAGCCTCCAACAGAGCCGAGTTCCGACCATTAGCAGAAGGACCTGGCAAAGGACCTGGCCATTTGTGATGGTGAGGATTTCCCCCCATGGGCCCGTCTGGAAGATTGCATGACTGCAGTGTAATATAGGAGGAAGATTGCATGACTGCCGTGTAACATAGGAGGGTGGGTTGATAGTGTAAATAGTTTTTAATTTTTGTTCCAAGTCTGATTTCTGTTTTTAGTTTTAAGAGACTGTATCCTAGGCTAGCCATGATAGCTATGATACTACTTTGTCTTTCTTTTAATTTGATCCTCACATAGGTACCAATGGGGCATTTGTTTTAGGGTGACAAACCTTTAAAAAAAACCCTTGCAAATGTCTTATCATCAGACACCAGGCCAAGACAAATAGCAAATTCTTCTGGCTGTATTCAAGTCTCTGTTTTTCACAGAGGATCTTCAAATGTATACCTATTCCAATTCCAAATATAGCTTAAGACCAATAAACCTCTTTATAGCTTAGCCATGCACAAAAGGTATCCCTAAAAAGGGTGTAAAGGTGCAGCTCCTATGGTCCAGTGCAAGACCTCAACTTGAAACAGCTCATCTACAACTCCTTGCTGGGCTTCCTGCTCTCACACCTTGCTTCTTAGGGCCAGGGCCACCTGCTATGGGGCAGTTCAAGTTCCCAGAACCAGGCAAGTTTCTCACAATTTCCTAAGGGCAATGCAGAAGAAATCATTAAAAATGAACCTCGAGAAAAAGGATTGATGTCACTTTAAAATTACCAAAGAGCTTAAAAAATGTCTTGTGGTAAATCATTTTATTCCATGAAGTTATCCACCCCCAATTTATTTGCATTTTATGAGTTGAAACTTTTCATTATTTATTTAAAACTTGAGTACACTAGTATTGAAGACACAATTTAATATTAGAATTTTCCGCCGAAACTGGTTTGGCTCAGTGGATAGAGCGTCTGCCTGCGGACTGAAAGGTCCCAGGTTCGATTCTGGTCAAGGGCATGTACCTTGGTTGCAGGCACATCCCCAGTGGGCAGGAGGCAGCTGATCAATGATTCTCTCTCCTCTGTCCCTTTCTCTTCCTCCCTGTAAAAGAAAATCAATAAAATACATTTAAAAAAATTAAAATTAGTATTTTCCATCAGGGAAATACAATTCAAAACTGCAACATAATTACGACATTATGACATTAATGAGCTGACATTATGACAACGTAATGTCAGCTCAATAAGACAAAAAATAACAATTGTTGGCAAGAATGTGGAAAAAAGGAAACTCGTGTACTGCTGGGGTTGTAAATTAGTGCAATCACTATGGAAAATTAAAAAAATAAAAGTATAACCCAACAGTTCCATTTCTGGTTATTTATCTGAAGAAAACTGACATAATTCAAAAAGATTTATGCACTCTTATAATCATTGCAGCATTGTTTATAATAGCCAAGATATGGAGGCAACTTAGATGTCCTTTGAAAGACGAATGGGTAAAGATGATGTGGTTGTATACAGTGAAATATTACTTGGCTTGCTGAAACTGGTTTGGCTCAGTGGATAGAGCATTGGCCTGCGGACTGAAGGTCCCGGGTTCGATTCTGGTCAAGGGCATGTAACTTGGTTGCGGGCATATTCCCAGTAGGGGGTGTGCAAGAGGCAGCTGATCAATAATTCTCTCTCATCGAAGTTTCTACTTCTCTATCCTTCTCTCTTCCTCTCTGTAAAAAAATCAATAAAATACATTTAAAAAGAAATATTACTTGGCCATAAAAAATGAAATCTTGGCAATTTTTGACAACTTAAATGGACCTAGAGTATTATGGTAAGTGAAATAAGTCAAAGACAAATACCGTATGAATTCATTTATGTATGGAATCTAAAAAACCCCAAAATGAAACAGAAATAAACTCTTAGATACAAAGTAATGGTTACCATGGAGTGTGTGCAGGGAAGGGACTGGGCAGTTACTTTGAAACTAGAGGCCTAGTGCATGAAACTAGGAAATGTGTCCATGGGTAGGGTCCCTAGGCTGGCTGGTGATCAGAGCTGATAGGGGGCCTTCTTCCATTCTGCGCCAACCTCTGATGGTGAACGCGCGTAAAAGTGAGCGGTCGAACTCCCAGTTGGTTGAACTACCAAAGGGACAATTTGCATATTAGCCTTTTATTATATAGGATGAGACATTTCTGAGAATTTGGATTAGCAGTGATTCTACAGGCTTCCCTGTCATGTTCAAGTCAAGAACTCTTTCAGTTGAAAATTTCTGTCCACAAATCACATCTGTATGTTTATTTTGAGTGAAATATAAATTTACATTCTAGAATCTCTTTTGAGGACAAGTAGATTTAAAAATGCACACTGTTCAGTTAAGTGTTAATACTAAAATAAATGCAATTACATCTCTGATATATCAGTAAGATATAATATAATCAGTGTTTATCAGGACAGCCCTTTTGTAAGTATTGCTCATACTGGTTATTTAATCCTGCTAACAGTTCTCCAACTTGACCAGATAAGAGGCAGAAGGAAAAAAAAAAAAAAAAGGGGAGGAACCTGTCCAGAAACTCAAGCCATAGTTTAGTAACAATAAAGAGTGGCTTTATTGATTTCATAATTTTGGCTATATTAACATATATTATAAACTTTAAGAATTAGAAATAAATGACTATATATATATTTTTAATATAGGAGTAATTTATATTATGGCAGCATGTTTAATGAAAATTATGTGTTGCACAGTCATCATATGTATTTTTCAGATGATCAGGAAGCCATTATCCAAGCTGTATTTTAGGCCAAGATATAGTTACCCCTATACACGCATTTCATTATGTAGAAATAAGCACTGTTTTCTTTTTCAGCAAATATTCCCTTTTGATTATACAGACATATCCTTCCAAAATTACTCTTATTATAATGTACAAAACAACTTTTTATCCACAAGAGTTGCCTCAAATAACTTTCACCTTGGAAAGCTACAATAGTATGAGACAGCCAAATACTACTCTGGACTTCTGTGTCTTGAATTTTTCATTTCCCCTTAAAATCCCAATTTACAAATAAAACTAATTAACCACAATTATAATTTAGCAAAGTCCTTTTTAACACAAAGTTAGAAAACAAACCAATTCGAGCAAGTATTTGGCAGACCACAGAAAGAACACAGGGCCGTGGGAAATGAAAGGTTTTAGTGTTTCAAAGAGGAAGAGACTGATGAATGTCATTCGAATTTCTCATCTCCTTCTTCCACATCTTTCAGATTGAGCACTTCCAAAGAACCTTTGCCTTTTGTTTCCTTTTGTATTAGCTCATCAATTTCTCTGAAGCAGCCTGGATCAATTAGACACACCTGAAACATTTAACACAGCTGTTTACCACATGAAGAGGAGCAATACAATAGAAATCAACACAACTTTAACTTCCACTAAGTCTAAGACAAGCACACAATACTTTCCGGATGTCTCTACTACTACAGCTCTTCAGTGCAACACAAAGATAATGCACAAGATGGCAGACTACTCTAGGCCCTGCCCCGGAGTATGCATGGAGCTGCTGTGACAAGGCATTGGCCTCCTTGCTTAAAGACACATCTGGATTCTTCAGCCGTAAGATGAAGTGGTTGAATTAGAAGAATATGCTTCTTTTCATACAAAAATAGCATTGAATTTTATAGTTCAATAAAATTGCCTCTTTTTATCCAAGTTGAAGGAGAGAAAGGTGCTTGAAGGCCTATACAGAAACTATAAAGTTGCTGCAAAATTTAGGGACTTCAATTTGCACAAACCTGGTTTTATACTGTGTCTGAAGCTATTGGGTAAGGACTCAAGGACATATTTTTGCTGCTTTTAAAAAATATATTTTTATTGATTTCAGAGAGGGAGGAAGAGGGATAGAGAGAAACATCCATGCTGAGAGAGAATCATGGATTGGCTGCCCCCTGCAAGACCTCCACTGGGATCTAGCCCACAACCTCGGCATGTGCCCTTGACCGCAATAGAACCTGGGACCTTTCAGTTCCCAGGCCGATGCTCTATCCACTGAGCAAACCCGGCTAGGGCTTTGCTGCCTTTTAAAAATGTTTTGTGTACCGAAACTGGTTTGGCTCAGTGGATAGAGCGTCGGCCTGTGGACTGAAAGGTTCCGGGTTTGATTCCAGTCAGGGGCATGTACCTTGGTTGCTGGCACATCCCCAGTTGGGGGTGTGCAGGAGGCAGCTGATCGATGTTTCTCTTTCATCGATGTTTCTAGCTCTCTATCCCTCTCTTCCTCTCTGTAAAAAATCAATAAAATATATTTAAAAAAATGTTTTGTGGTGCCCCAGCTCAGCAGCACAGTTGGTTAGAGCGTCATCCAGATATACCAAGATTGCTGGTTCAATCCCTAGTCAGGGCACAAAAAAGAACTAATATATATTAGTTCTATATATATACACTGTAATATATACACTGTAATATATATTCTCACCTAAAATCTGGGTAAGTCTTTAAACAAGGAGGTTAATACCTTGTCACATGACCAACATGATTTTACCATAAATATTATAATTTAACTGGAAAACAACAAGAAAAATATCGTGTGTTTAACTACAATTTAGTTCTACTTAGACCTTAATATTTTTTTACCTAATTCTAGGTAAGATGTTTCTGAGAATGTCTTACTGTTCACACCTTTTAAAAGTTTGTTACACATTTATAATCAGAAAATAAAACTATTTTGTTAACATGAGGAACTTGATTTTTAATCTTACAATTTCTAATTGTTGATTGTAGTCCTCACTTTCTATAACCTTGATCAGTGGCTTGAGTTTTTCTTTCAGCTTTTTTCCTTCATTCACTGGAAGAATGAACCGAAGTCTCATGTGAGCACGTTCTATCTTCATTTTCTCCTTTAATTGCTTTATCACTTCCAAAGCCTATTAAGACAAAATTGAAAATGTTTGCAATTTCTTTGCTGTTTCTGCTGCCTTATTTCATAAGGTATTCATAACAAAGCTATTTCCATCTAGCTGCATTAGCAATGGTTTCTTAGACATATGACATGACCATAAGCAAACAGAGAATAGGTAAATTGGACTTGAAGATAAATACTTTTGTGCTTCAAAAATCTATGAAGAAAGTGAAAAGACAACCTAAAGAATAGGGGGAAATATTAACAAATTACGCTTGATAAGGTACTAGTATTCAGAGTATAGAAAAAGTGTTACAATTCAATACTGAAACGTGGTCAAAGGATCCGAACATTGATCTCTCCAGAGAGACTAAAGGTCAGTAAGTACATGAAAATCATTAGTCATGAGGGAAATGCAAATCAAAACCAGAATGTTAACCCCAGGATGACTATAATAAAGGCAGAAAATAACAAATATTGCCAAGAACATGGAAAAATTGGAACCCTTGTACATTGTGGGAATAGAAAATGGTACACCTGTTTTGGAATACGATTTGGCAGTTCCTCAAAAGGTTAAACAGTTATCATATGATCTAGCAATTTCATTGCTGGGTACAGAGAATGAAAATGTCCACAGAAAACCTGTAATGAATTCCATAGCATTATTCACAATAGCTAAGAAGTGGCAACAACCCATATTATTGAATGAATGAATAAAATGTAGTATTTCCATACAATGGGATATGATTCAGCCATAAAATGTCAATATTTGTCTGTAAAAACAATATAAGTAGCAAGGATAAAGTACTGATACTACTATTTTACAACATGGATGAACCTTGAAAAGGCCACATGCTACATGATTCCAATTATATGAAATGTCCAGAATAAACAAATCCATAGAGACAGAGGTTGCTAACGGCTTGTGAAAGATGAACAGTAACAGATAATGGGTTCAGGGTTTCTTTCTTGAGTAATGAAAATGTTCTCAAATTAGGTAGTAAGAAAGGTTGCAAAACTTTGTGAATATACCAATGAAGTGTATACTTTAAAAGGGTAACTTTTATGGTATGTGAATTATGTGTTTTTAAAAAAAATCTAAAGCATTACAAAGACTCTTTCTTTAGAAATCCAAGTTTTATCTTTAAAGGTTTGATTTGGATAGAAAGGTGAGTCCTATGTATATTTGTATGTAGTTAAAAAACATTCCATTTCTCTTCTCTACAATATACATCCTTTCATACCCCTCTCCCCAAATCTTGCTTTCAAGTATTATCAGTTTATTACAGATCAATTATTTTAATGATTTCCTCAGAGAAAACTGATTTTCATGGATACTTTTTGATGACATTAAAAACTACTAACCTGTTGTTTTGTACTCTTGTTGGTGTTGACTGAATAGTGGATGTCCTTCATTGCTCTCTCAATAAGGATAACAGTGTATGGTCTCTTTGTTTCTGGGTTCACACATTTGTCAGCTACAATAGTTGCAATGTCCCTAAACATCTGCTCCAGCTGTGTGTGCCGTTCTTTATCTGATACTTGAACCTCCCCTTTAGTCAAAATCTAAAACAAACAAAAAAATTCCATAAAATTTAAGCAATGTCTTTATTACATACTATTTGTTAACTAACCACAAGAATAACGAAGGAGAAAATTAAATTTAATCCTCTCTAGAGAGCTACTGAAATTTGAGCTTTGCCTAAAGAATGCACTGGATTATCTTGTGCTCCAAAATATCACTTATTTTTTTTAAAGAGTTACTATCTAAAATTTTAATTATTTTCAAGAAAACTGACTTTAAATATAATAATGTTACATGCAATAAACATTAATACTTTAAGAAAAATGATTTTAAATATAATATTGCATGCAATAAAAATATTTCAAGTAGAATAGCACTTATTTAGGATTAGGAAGAGAAAAGGCAACCTTAGCAAAGGGTTTAAATGATGAACTACTTGAAAAGAAATTCTTTCAGCCATATTACATTAAAAGTATATAAAGGAACAAAATAAGGCAATTTAGTAGATAATTTAATTTCTGGAGGCTTTGGCAAAAAATAAAAACCATTTCCTAAGTATGTATGGTGATTTCTGGTGGTGATCATTTCATAAGGTTTATAAATATTGAATCACTATGTTGTACACCTGAAACATAATATTTTGTCAATTATATGTCAATTAAAAAAACCCACCATGTCCCGAACGATTAAAAGTGATATTGTGCAGGTCAAATTATTGCGTGGTTACTGTTAACTCCAAAACAACAACAAAAACTTAAAAGTTTAACACATCTCTAAGTACTTTCACTACAGATCTAAGAACTCACACTACAGATGGGTAGTTATGTTGCAACTGTTAAAACCCACCTGCTTACAGATTTCAGTCTGGTCATCTGTTCCAAATGCGCTGATGAGATCTTCCTTCTTTGCAACCTGACCTTTAGAAACATTTACAAACACCGAGTGGGTCTGCAGCACTTCATCAAGGTCTTTTTCCCTGTGAGGACGGAGAGACAGCCCTAAGTGAATACACTTGAAGTTTGGAAATTCATTCACATTTAAATACGAGATGGCAACGAAACAAACAGCAAGAAACAATAAATACTCCTAAAAAATCCTCGCGGTACCAAGGAAACATTAAAAAAAAAACACGCAGAACCACATATGTATTCGCCTTTACTCATTGGAGAAAAACGTCGTGGGAGGACGTATGGGACCCTGGCGGGTCTGGATATAGATCTGGGTCTGGGTCCGGGTCCGGCTTCTGCCGCTGAGCGCGGCCGCTAGATGGCAGCAGTGAAGACACTACGCACTTCGGTGATACCGGGCTAACATCTGTGACATGAGATGTTCTAGAATATTTTTAAGACTAGGCTCTTTACCTTTATTATTCTGGCCAAAGGACCAGGACCATGGAGGTTTCTTGTGACAGCATAAAGCACATGTGTCAAACACAAGGCCCGCGGGCCAAATCCGTACCGCCAGGCCTTGCAATGTGGCCCGCACCCCGCTGTCATCACTGCACTCCGCTGCGTTTCCATCACAATGACAGTTTATGACTGTTCAGTAAACCATTCGGCCCGCGATTTAGGCTGGATTTTAGATTTTGGCCCCTTCTCTGATTGAGTTCGACACTCCTAGCATAAAGGAAAGCAAAAGCAAACACCAACCACCAAACCAAACCAAACAGGAACGCTTCGTTCAGGCGCTAAGCTCGGGAAGAGCGGACACTTCTCAGGCCCACAGCAGGGAGAAGTTCTCCATTTCCTTCCCTGACCAGGCCCCAGGCTGGCCCGGGCACCCGGCCACCAGGGCAGGCCGCCGCAGGGTCACCGGCTCCGGCCCGCCCGCGGGGAGGGAGGGTCACTCACACGCCGCTCCGCCAGCCGACCACTTTGTTTTTGTAGCAGGCGATTTCGAAACGCTTCCCGGCGCGCTTCATGCGAACCACGGCCACATTGGTCAGGCGGATCTGGTTGGTGGGGGTGAAGATCGACATCGTGGCTGCTCACAGGCCGTGGGTCCGACGAGCCGCGGCGGACCTGCGCCGGCCGGAAAGCCACCTGCCTCGCAGTAAGGAGCAGGCGGCGCGCGGGGCAGTACCGCCCGCGGCGAGCACAGTCTCGCGATTAACAGCCTGGGGGGCCACGAACACCCAGCGGACTCACTGCGCAGACAGCCCCACCCGGAAGCGTGAGCGATGGCGCATGCGCACTGCGGCCTTTACGACGCTGTGGCGTGCCCGAAGATACAGACGCACTTCCTGCGGTAAATGTGATTTCGCCAATGAGCTAAGAGCCCTGATTAGCTGTGGAAGCTGACATTTGCAGGTCGGGTGGAAACACAGCGCCGGTTGCCTTATAGTTCCGCAGAGTTCAGGGCCACCCATACCCACCTTAACCCTTCATTACAGATTTTTTTTTTACACAGAAAAAAAAGAAAAGAAAAAAAAGTGTGTAATGAATGCTCATGTACCCACCAATCCGTTTCAGTAATTATCAACATTTTGCCATTATTGCTTTCATTCTTTCTCCATTATTATTATTATTGTTGTTGTTGGGAGTATTTTAAAGCAAATCATGATAAGGTTTAGCTCTAAATACTTCAGTCTATCCTAAAATACGCCCAACATGATTCGCCATAATTCCTTCGTATCACCTAAGAGCCAGTCCATAACCAAACTTCCCTTACATAATGTTTGCAGTCGGTGTATTTCAAGAGATTCAAACGGGCCTACAGATTGCATTTGGTCGATGACATCCTTAGTCTCTTTAGCCCCCTTTTCCCCTCCTCCCCCTTTTCCCAGTCCCACTCGGGTTTCCACAGTGTTTTGAGGGACCAGAGCTTTCCTCCTCTGAACCAGCTCGGAGGGGCCGAGCTCTCTGGGGGCCCGGCCCAGAGTTCTGGGCGGGGCTTCCTTTTAGGCCCGCCCCTTCCCCACTGCAGCCAATCCAAGCAGGACCAGCGGAGCCCAGCTTCCTCGCCCCGAGCTGTAGGTGGTGCTTCCCTGGGCCCGCCTCTTCCCTCTGAGCCAATCCCGACGCGCCGGCGGGTGGCATGGCTTCCCCCGGCTCCGGGCTCTCAGGTTTTACAACTAGCACTGCCAGGAGGTTCTGACGGCCCCCGGTACTGAGACTGGGCGCCCGGCTGTCCAGGTCCGCGCTCCTGGTCTCCTTTCGGGCCGCCGGGCCCGGGCTCTGAGGAGGATGGGTAAGGGCCCCGGTGGGCAGCGTTCGTGAGGCGGGAGGGAGAAGCCGTTTACCGGGACCCTGTCCCGGCGGCGCGGCGGTGCCACGACCCTTGTGAGGTCGCTGGGGCACGGGAGGATTATCTCTGCTTTCGACTTGGCTTTCCCCTGTTGCTTCTAATCTAACCGAAGGTGTCCAGACGTCCCGCTTTTGGCGGGACAGTCCGGATTTCTAACAATTTGTCCCGCGTCCCGCGGCGTTTTAAAGCAGTCCCGATCGGGACGCGGGACAAATTGTTAGAAATCGGGACGTCCGATCTCCTTATTAACCTCTATTAAAGGGCAGAGACAGCTGCCACCCCCTCCCCTTCCCCACGTGCATTGGGGATCTTCCCCGGGTGGAGGGCACCTGTGAACAGGTTAGGCGTCGCCTTTTGAAATTGACCCCAGGTTTAACCTTTGAGGCCAGGTCCGCCCGTATCTCCCTTCAGGATGGAGTGTGAGGTCAGTTATTTAAGAACCCTTTACAAGGGGCCCTGGGTCTTTTAAAAATAAACTTAGAAAAAAGGGAATAGGTTTCGTACTTCTTAAAGCTTTCCTTACGGAGCTAGCATAACAAAGCGAAATCTACTCAGAATTCCCCATAAAGTCCTTTGACTCTGTTCCCTTCTTTTGCTCCCAAATGCTATATCCAAAACAAGAAAAAAAATATATATCGTGGAAACACAGCGATTATCATAATTTTATCACGTTGCCACATAAGGTATTATTATTTTATATATTTATTTTTTATTTTAGAGGGAGGTGGTGGTGAGGGGGGAGACAGACAAACAGACATCGATGTGAGAGAGAAATACTGATCGGTTGTCTCCGAAGGTGCCAGGACCAGAGATGGAACCGAGTCCTGGGTGTGTGCCCTGAACGGAAATATTTTGGGGTGTGTGTGTGTGTGTGTGTGTGTGTGTGTGTGGAGGGGGGGCCGACGCTCCAACCAAACCAGTGAGCCACATGAGCCAGCACATGTATTATTTTCACCAGAGTTGATTTTCTATAAAGTTCTTAGCCTTATTGTTGAATATGGAGGTTTTTTTTTTTTAAATTTAAAATAAGAGTGGACCTTTTTGTATATGTATAGCTTTAAATACAATTACATATATGTATCATTTTAAATTTAGATCCTTCTTCGGATACATGGGATTTCTCACCTTTAATATCATTATGGATAAACAGATATTATATATATTTCAGTTTTGCCTTTGGTATTGGCCTTTGGATTTGTTTACAGATTGTTATCAGGAAGCAGGTAAGTGGAATTTTTTTTTTTTAATAGGAGAGTATTGAAGCATTCAATTTCATGGATAATTTAGAGTGCAGAATTTCTAAGGCATTCAGAAAAATGCAGGAAAGCTAAAAGGAACTGTAAGTCACTTTTATGTTTAATCTTTAGGCATTTTTCTTAATGCCTAAAGAAGTTTATTCTGTTTTTGCATGCTAAATTACCTTGAACTAAATTATATTTATTTTTTCTTTGATGGGGTATGGGTGTCTCATTCTTATAGTACAGAAAGATTTTGTAATGAAAAATTAAACTTTCGTAGAAAATGAAATTTGGTTCACATCTTTAAAGGCTAGTAGTCTTTTCTTTTCACTAATTAACAATCAAAAAAGGTTTCTACTCTTGTCCCACTAAAATACATTAGAAATGAAGGTATGTACAGTTTTATCTTTGAATAGTACTTTCATGCATATAATACTACTAGAGGCCTCGTTCAAGAAATTTGTGCATGGGCGAGGGATGTCCCTCAGCCCCACCTGTGTCCTTTCCAATCCAGGACATCCCTCTTGCAATCTGGGACCACTGCCTCCGAAACGCTCTCCTGCCTGCCTGCCTGATCACCCCTAACTGCCTCTGTTGGCCTGCCTAATCACCCCTTAACTGCTCCCCTGCTGGTCTGAGGGCTCCCAACTGCCTTCCCCTACCAGCCTGATGGTCCCCGAATCCCCTCCCCTGCCGGCCTGATCTCCCTAACCGACTCTGCCTTGGCCCTTGCCACTGCGACTTTGTCCGTAAGGATGTCCGCATCTGGTCTAATTAGCACATTACCCTTTTATTAGTATAGATCAGTGTTTCCCAACCTTCTCTCATGATGAGAATCACCTGGTGGAGTTGTTAAAACACAGATTCCTGAATCCCAACTAAGAAGTGCTAAACTAGAATTTTTGGGAACATATAGGTAAAATTGTATACTTAACTAGTGCTCTAAGACAGATTTTATATACAGAGCACTAAGTTAGGTATGCAATTTTACCTATATGTTCCCAAAAATTCTAGTTTAGCACTTCTTAGTTGGGATTCAGGAATCTGTGTTTTAACAACTCCACCAGGTGATTCTCATCATGAGAGAAGGTTGGGAAACACTGGTATAGATAATAGGAATCATTATGATCTTAAAAAATATGGGTCCTGTCTTGTAAGGACGTAATTATACCAAGAAGGGAGTATTTGAGGAGTACAACCTAGAAAGCTTAAGATAATAAAATGGGTCAATATCTGTGCTAATTTTCTTTCCTACTGAAGGTGGGAAAAGATTCAACGTAGATTGTGGTTTATATTTAAGGACAAGAACTCACAGGAGAAATCAGTTCCAAAAGAAGCTCAGGATTTGATGACAAACGGTTATATCTCTCCTCCCAAGAAGGAAGTCTTTGTGTCTGGAGTGAAGATTTTCTATGGTTCCCAGACTGGAACAGCGAAGGTAAGGACTCTATGTCACTTCCTCTTGGATTTCCTGAGCTTTAAGAAAAGTCCCTGAAAAGTGCCGTTTAGCAGTGAACAGAATTGGCCTTCCAGTCTTCTTTCATCTTTTCCCCCTTTCCAGCGTCCATTTTTCCTTTCTGGGATGGTAGGTAGGTTTTATTTCTTGTACCCAATTCCAGCTGATTAGTGGTGTCTGGTGGTCACTGTCATAAGGTGTTTTGTGGTGAAGCTTGCTTCTATCTCAGCAGAATGGAGAGAGGTGCAAGTCTATTGTTGATGCCTCTTGGTAGAGAAGTAGGAGATAGTGAAAAGAGGAGGGCAGCACTAGTCCAGTACGGGCCCTGAATTTCACAACTTCACACATTTGTTTAAGGAAATGATTTTTTTTTAAATTTATTTATTTTTTAATAAATCTTTATTGTTCATATTATTACAAATGTTCCTCTTTCCCCTCCCCCCCTCCATTGCTCCCCTCCACCAGGTTCCCACCTCACCCTCTGCCCTTTCCCCACTCCCCATTGTCCTCATCCATAGGTGCACAGTTTATCTTCAGTCTCTTCCCACATCCCCCTCTCCCCTTTTCCCCAAGAATCGTCAGTTCACTCCCCTTCCATACCTCTGATTCTATTATATTCAACAGTTAATATTGTTCATCAGATTTTTTTTTAATTTCCTTGGTTTTTAGATTCACTTGTTGATAGTTATGTATTTGTTGTTCATAATTTTTATCTTTGTTTACTTTCTCTTCCAAAAGAACCCCCTTCAGCAATTCATATAATTCTGGTTTGGTGGTGATGAACTCCTTTAGCTGTTTTTTATTAGTGAAGCTCTTTATCTGGCCTTCGATTCTGAGTGATAGCTTTGCTGGGTAGATTATTTTTGGCTGTATGTTCTTACTATTCATAAGCTTGAATATTTCTTGCCATTCCCATCTGGCCTGCATGGTTTCTGTTGAGAAATCAGCTGACAATCAAATGGGTGCTCCTTTATAGGTAACTACCTTCTTTGCTCTTGCTGCTTTTATTATTCTCTCTTTGTCTTTTGCTCTTGGAATTTTAATTATGATTTGTCTTGGTGTGGTCTTCTTTGGATTCCTTTTGTTTGGAGTTCTGTGCGCTTCCTGGACTTGTAAGTCTAATTCTTTCACCAGGTGGGGGAAGTTTTCTGTCACTATTTCTTTCAGTATGTTTTTGATATCTTGCTCTCTCTCATCTTCTGGGACCCCCATAATTCTGATGTTGGTTCGCTTGAAGTTGTCCCAGAGGTTTCTTACATTATCTTCAATTTTCTGAATTCTCTTGCCTTCTTGCTTCTGCGGAGGAGTGTCTTCTGGCTCTTTATGTTCCAAATCTTTGACTTGATTCTTGTGATCTTCCATTCTGTTTTTAGGACTCTGTATAATATTTTTTATTTCAGACAATGTATTCTTTATTTCTTGTTGATCCCTTATTATTTCTTGTTGATTCCTTATTAATTCTAGTTGATCCCTTTTCATATCCTCATAGGTCTTATTGACCTTTTCTGGGAAATTCTTGAAAAACCTTATAAGCGTAGATTTGAACTCTATATCCAGTCGCTTTTTGTCCTCCATTTCTTTCGTTTGTGATCTATTTCGTTGTCTCGGCATTTTCGCAGCTTCCCTGATGGGGCGGGGTTTCAGCCCCGCCCTATGGGGCTCCTGAGTCTTAGTAATCCCCAGGGTCCCTCGGTACTGGCTGCCAGCACCTCTGAGAGAAAGGTGCTCTCGATTTTCGCCTGCTACCAAGCAGTCTAGGCTCTCCCCCAATGAGCCCAGAACTGGGGTTCAGTTCAGTTGGAAGTGGGGTTGAAAGTGGGGTTCAGAGCAGTCCAGAGCTTTTGTCTCCTTCCAGCCAGGGCAATCCCACGGCACAGCCAACCATCCCTTCTCTGCGCGCAATGTACGCGCCTTGGGGATCTCCTTTCTCTGCTCCCCAGGGTTTCCGCCTTACAGCCCAGCTCCCTCAGTATGAGCCTGGGTCCTCAGGGTCTGGCCTAGAACTGGGGTTCAGAGCAGTCGGAACTGGGGCTCAGCACAGTCCCGAGCCTGTCTCCTTCCTGCCAGGGCAATCTAGCAGCAGAGTCAACAGTCCGTCCTCGGCACGCAATGTGCGCGCCTCTGGGACCTCCTTTCGCCGCTCCCCTGGGGTTCCGCCTCACCGCCCAGGCTCCCTCTGTATGAGCCTGGGTCCCCAGGGTCTGGCCTAGAACTGGGGTTCAGCGCTGTCGGGTCTGGGGTTCAGCACAGTTGGAGCTTTTATCTCCTTCCTGTTAGGGAAAGCCAGCCAGGCACTCAGCCTCCTTTCTCTCCGGCCCCATCCTCTCCATGCTCGCCGCGTGTCTCTGTACCTTAGGCTTTTACAGCTCCTCCGCGCTTCCTTCTGGTTTTCTCCTTGCTTCTCGTTGTAGAATTCCCAGTCAGTCGACTTTCCTGTAGTTCTGGGTAATGTCCTTTTTATATTTTAGTTGTATTTTATTGAAATTGTTGTGTGCGGCTGCGGCTAGGTGTTTGTTTACCTGTGCAGCCATCTTGTATTCTCCACAAGGAAATGATTTTGATTTTGAAAAATGTTAAAAGTGTAAAAAGTATAAATGATTGCCCTGGCCGATATGGTTCAGTGGTTAGAACGTCAGCCTGCATACTGTAGGGTCACAGTTTCAATTCCCAGTCAAGAGCATGTACCTGGATTGCAGGTCCAATTCTTTGCTCTGGTGGGGGCATGTGTGGGAGGCAACCAATTGGTGTGCCTCTCTCTCTCTCTCTCTCTCGCTCTCTCTCTCTCTCTCTCTCTCTCTCTCTCTCTCTCTCCCCCTCCCTCCCTCCCTCCCTCTCCTCTTTCTTCTCTCTCTCAGTCTCTCCCCATTCCTCCTCCCTTCCACTCTTTAGAAATCAATGGGAAAAATATCCTCACCATTCAGGTGAGGATTTTTTAAAAAAGTATTAATGATAGACATGGAATACTGTTTAAAGTACATATGCTTCAGATATGTAGCTGAAAGATACTTTCCATTCTTTAATTGTATCTAGGTGCTGCCTGCTTCTTTGTTACGAAGGTCAGTCACAGCTATTGAGTGCTTTCTAGGAAAGGATTCTAAGGCTGACATGAAAATGGCTTTAAGAAAATTCGGTTTTGGTGATTTTTGTATAGTACTGTACAAAAGTGGGTTCTGCTGACCTCTTGTGGGTATTTTGTAGAATAATACTTCTGTCTTTTTGTACTCCAGTGCAGGTATAGTACTTTGTTCAACATCAGCTTTAGGCAACCGAAGTGGGAAACTGAGAGAAAAACAAAAGGATCTAAATAACGAAAACAAAGTCATTTTATGTTTCCAATAAAAGATCTTATGAATGTTTAAAAGTTTTTTATGATTGTTCTGGCCGGTATGGCTCAGTTGGCCGAGCATCATCCTGATCACTGAGAGTTCACCGGTTTCATTCTCGGTCAGGGCACATACTCAGGTTGTGGATTTGATCCCATATTGTTTTTTCTCTCTCTCCTCTTTCCCCCTCTCTCCCTCACTCCCTCTACCTTCCTCTCTAAAAAAAAGAAAGAAAGAAAAAAAAAAAAGATCAAATTAATCCTTGCAGATAGTAACAGATCCAGGCATACAGAGAGTTCATAATGAAAAGTGCTCTCCAGGGAATCTTTTAACTAGTTCTGTTTTAGTTCCTCTGATGGTTATTTCTTTAACCTTCTTGTGCTATATTTCTAGATTTTTCAATTTTAGATAAAAGTTATTCCTTATATTAGTTGGTTCACACAAACGTTCCTCAGATCGCAGTTAATATTGTGCCCACATCATAGTCAGTTCAGGCTCTCCTTAAAGCTGTACCACCTCAATTTCTTTATTCTGGATTCACATTTGATTGATTCATATTTGGCTGGGTATAGAAGACTGTGTCAAAATTTTTTCTTTACAGCTTTGAAGGCATCACTTCATTGTTTTCTACCAAGAAGGGTTGCTGATGACATATTGAAGATGACTTGACTTTTTTAATTTTGTTTTTGGAAGCTTTTAGAATCAGATCTTAAATGAGAGGATGTTTAGGTTGGATCTTTTCTTAGTCATCATGCTGGACTCTTGGGGTCTTAGGTTTTTTTTTTTTGGGGGGGCTCTTTAGTTTTGAGGATTTGTTTGCATTAATTCTGCTAATATTTCTAGGGTAAATTTTTTTTTATTTCTGTTTTTGTGGTCTAACTGCTATTGGATGGATGTTGGAGCTTTTGGATGGTCTTCTATGTCTCAAACCTTTTCTCTCATATTTTTTTTGTAACTTTTTATTTTCATTCTGTTCTTAGATTTTAATTTCAAATCCTTTTTGAATGTTAATTAATTATATATTAATTAAAAATTCTATTTTGCTCAATTTTTATAACATTTTATTCATATATTGCTAAATAATGACTTCTGTTTTCTGTTTCCTTAATTGCCTGCTTTCTCAGTTTTTCTGCTGCTGGTTCTTCTCTTTCCTGCTTCTTATTCTCATCATGTTCTTGGTGATCCATAGTTTTTCTGTTCATATTTAGGACAGAATGATGGGGTAATTGGTGTGGATTTTCTCTATTGCTCTGTGAACAGATTTGTTTCCTAAAATTGTAAATTCTCACTGGATGCTCTGTGAGAATTGGCCCCACATGACCCTCTAATGACCACCTCTTTTTTTTTCTTTAATAAAACTCTTCGGAAGTGTTGTGTTTGTGATCTCCAATTTCTCCTGTTTTTCTTGAAGCACTTCAGTTAGGCTTGCATGCCCCAACATGCTCCCTGTGTTTTCCATTTTGCTTATTAATTTTCAGTCTTCATCTTACTTGATCTACTAGCTGCTTGACCACTTCTTTCTTCTTAAAGTGCTTTCTTCCTTCAACTTTTAGGTCATTGTTCTCTAGGTTCTCCTCCTACTTTGTTGGGGCTGTCTTCCTCACTATTTGTTGATTTCTCCCCATCTCCTTGGCCTGTAAAGATAGGAGTGTCCCAGGGTACATAGATAGCCTTTGAGACTGTCTTTCTCTCTTGCATTCACTTTGCTTTGTAAGGGATCTTGTTTCTAGAGTAGGGGTGTCGAACTCAATCAGAGAAGGGGCCAAAATCTAAAATCCAGCCTAAATCGCGGGCCAAATGGTTTACTGAACAGTCATAAACTGTCATTGTGATGGAAACGCAGCGGAGTGCAGTGATGACAGCACGGTGCGGGCCACATTGCAAGGCCTGGCGGGACGGATTTGGCCCGCGGGCCTTGTGTTTGACACATGTGTTCTAGAGCTTTAAATTCTACTAGATAGAGTTTGGCAAACTTTTTCTGTAAAGGGCTAGATTAAAAAAAAGGTATATTTTTATTCATTTTAGAGAGAGGAAGAGAAAGGGAGAGAGAGATAGAAACATCAGTAATGAGAGAATGGTTGATTGGTTGGCTCCTGCATTCTCCTCACTGGGGATTGAGCTCCCAACCCAGGCATGTGCCCTAACTGGGAATGGAACTGTGACCTCCTAGTTCAAATCCATGCTTAACCACTGAGCCACACCAGCCAGGCAGTATTTGTGTTTTTGATGACAAATGTCAGTCACTGGAAATGTTTTTCATAAGAAATGCTTCAGTGGTAAATGAAGACAGTATTTTGTTTATTTAGCTTACTGAAGACTGATTTTTTTTCCCTATTAGGAATTTGCAACAATTCTTGCTGAAGCTGTTACCTCCCTATATCTGCCCGTGGCAATTATTAATCTGAAAGAATATGATCCAGATGATAATCTAGTAGAAGAGGTGGGTAATTGTTTCATTTTTTCCTCAGTCAAAACTCACATTTTATTGACCTGTGTTCTGAGATAAATAGAATCTGCAGAATAAATTTAATTTTCATTCTAAGAGATTTCAGTTGGTTGAGCTTTCAGTGTGAGGCAGAGGTGTTGAATGTGTGGTGTGCTACGCAGATTCTGAAGTGGGTGGAGCCTGTCCCTCTGGTGTGTTAGAATCTACTGGGGCGGGGGTAAGGTGGAGAAGCTGGGCGGTTTCAAATTCCCAAAGCCCTCCTGCTTCGAATCTCATAATCAAGGAGGATTGTTATTGCTGGCACTGTGCCAGGCATGTGAGCCATGTGTAAGCCTACCGAAAGGTCAGAAGCCACTTGGGTAGCAGAAGTATGGGCTTTAGTGTTAGAGAAATCTCTTGCTAGTTGTGTACCTTCCTACATTATTTAATGTCTGTGAGAGTTTAATTTCTTCATCTGAGAAATGCCCTCGCTCTCCTCTAGTCCTACCCAGTTAGGGAAGTTTGCCTGATAATAGTTGTTCTCAAAATGTGGCCCTGAACCAGCAGTATCAGCCTGGGGGACATGTTAGATCCTAGCCCAGTCCCGCTGACCCAAAGTCTGGTTGCAGGAACTGTGTTAACAAGTGCCCAAGATGATTCTGAAGGAGCTGGAGTTAGAGAAGCACTTACAGCATGGGTGGACAAACTTTTTCCATAGAGGGCTAGATAGTAAACATCTTCAGCTTTGTGGGCCATGCAGCCATAGACAGTATATAACAAATGAGCATGACTGCGTTCCAATAAAACTTTATTGACAAAAACAGATAGCAAGTTGGATTGGGCCTGTAGGCAAGAGGTTGCCAGCTCCTTCCTAGTGTGTAAACTTCTAACTATAATTGCCCATTGTTTCGCCGCTTTCCCCCCCAGAAAACACTGTAATGCAAATGAGTGAGCTCAAATCTGTGCTAAATTGTTTGTGAAAAATTATTAGCAAATTTGATAATAATTATAAGGGGTTACTTGTAACTTTATGACTTGGAACTGTTACAAGAAACATTCAAGCAGATGAAATAGTTTAACTAGCACGTGTTTTGTTTCCCCATGTAGATGACGGTGCCAAGTTTATGTTTAAAAGTTTTATTGCTTTTAATTTTCAGGTAGCTTTTTAGAGATATTAGTGTATTTTTCTGACTGACTTATACACTGAGTGGCCAGATTATTATGATTTCTGAATACATAATCTGGCCACTCTGTGTGTGTGTGTGTGTGTGTGTGTGTGTGTGTGTGTATTTTAGAGGTCTAGTGCATTAATTCGTGCAGGGGTGGGAGTTTGGCCAGCCTGGCCAGGGGGAGAGGACATGGGTGGTTGGCTGGCCTGCCTGCTGGTCAAATTCCTGGTTGAGGGGACAATTTGCTTATTAGCCTTCTTTTATATAGGATATAGACTGAGTGGTCAGATTATTATGCGTTCAGAGATCATAATAATCTGGCCACTCAGTGTAGTTTGTTTCCAACATGACAAATTGGATATGATTGGAATTGAGAGTCTGAGAAATGGAATGGAGTAAATGATGAAGGGCAGCAGGAGGTATATTGGCGAGGGACTGAGTTTTCTTCCCTGTACAGGTGTCCTTGTTTTCCTTCACCTTTGAAAAAGATTGTTTATGAAAGCACCCTTTGTCCTCAGAAATTAGTATGATAGGAATGTCAACACTTAAAAGTTTTTCTTCTTGAATATTTTTCTGAAATAATTACTTTCTTGGTTAGGTTACTAGTAAAAATGTTTGTGCCTTCCTGGTTGCTACATATACCGATGGCCGACCAACTGAGAGTGCAGAGTGGTTCTGCAAATGGTTAGAGGAAGCATCCAATGATTTTCGATTTGGCAAAACTTACCTGAAGGGTATGAGATATGCGGTGTTTGGCCTGGGAAATTCTGTCTATGCGAGCCACTTCAACAAGGTAGGTGCAAGGTAGATATCTATGCTGAATTATAAGGATAGATTCTCTTAGTTAGCAAAATTTAACACACACATATATACACATATGTATGTGCATATGAAATAATCCACAAACTTTGGTACTTATTGTGTTATTTCTTTATATCTGGGAATTGCTACACATCTGTATCCAATCCTGGTATATAAGCTTTCAGTAAGCTTTTATTGATTACATTTTTACTGAATAAAATAAATGAATATGCCAGCTATTATCGAGTGTCTTATGGGCCTGGCTTTGTAGGCTTTGAGTCCAGCCTTCTGTCCCCAGGTAGGACCTTGTGGATGGAATTATTACATCAAGATATATTTACTCCATATTTTCAAAGCAATTAGACAAAGAGTGATAAAATTCAGATGTGTAAGTATTTTGTTTAATGCCTTCCCACTCAGGAAGTCTGTTAAGCTTTTAAACTTTTAGCTGTGCCTGATAGCCCCTGTTCCTCAGCCTCATTGCTTCATATTGCACTACAATAAATTTCTGAGTTTATGAAATTATGGGTCTTGCTAAATGGATTCCATGTGCACATTGTTATTAAATGGGCTTTTGCCCCATAGACTTGATTACATTTTGGAATAAATTTGTTTTGCTAATTATTTTATTTTGACATTATTTAGAATAGTGGTTTTCAATTATTTTTAATGTATTAACTCTTAGTTTACTAAGAAGGTTTGTCCCTTTATTAAAGAAAACCTTTTGCAGAATCTTATAATGTATTAACTGCAGCCCTAGTGCCCTTGTGGGTTATGGCTGGGGGCAAAGGGCCCGGAGCAGTTGGCTAAGCAGTTCCCTCTTCCCAGCAGCAACAGGGGTTCCACAGGATACTCCAGACTGATTTATATTGTGTTTTTAGCTCATCCATTTTTCCTGCAGGTTGGCAAGAATGTTGATAAGTGGCTCTGGATGCTCGGTGCTCATCGCGTGATGACTCGAGGGGAGGGTGACTGCAATGTTGTTAAAAGCAAACATGGCAGCATTGAAGCTGACTTCAGAGCTTGGAAGACCAAGTTTATCTCCCAGCTCCAGGTGCTTTGTAAAGGAGAGAAGAAATCCTGTGATGGCAATTGCAAGAAAGGCAAATGTGAATCTAATCAGCCTAGCTCAGAGGAAATGGAGCTAGGATCTCATACTCAGGATGGATTGCATCAGAGAGACCCTGAGGTGTGTAGCCTGTGTGTCCATGTCTCTGCTTTCCTCCTGTGTTTGGAGATGCTAAACCTCACCTCTGCACTGAGAAACTATTTAAAAAAAAATATATATTTTATTGATTTTGTACAGAGAGGAAGGGAGAGAGATAGAGAGCTAGAAACATCGATGAGAGAGTGTCATCGATCAGCTGCCTCTTGCTCACCCCCTGCTGGGGATATGCCCGCAACCAAGGTACATGCCTTTGACCGGAATCGAACCCGGGACCCTTCAGTCCCCAAGCCGACTCTCTATTCATTGAGCCAAACCAGTCTCGGCCTGAGAAACTATTTATTTGGCTACTGGTTGGGAGGAAGATCTGAAACCCATTTGGGGGTATTTTAGAGAGGGTGGTTTTAGAGAGTATTGTGCTGGATGCTTTCTGGTATCTCTTCTGTAATGGTTGCATTGCTAGAGTCAAATAGGTTTCTACCACAATTTGCAGGTTAGGAAACAGGGCCCCAGAGGAATTAAATATCTCCTGGCCTGAGCTCTTATCTTTTTTTATCATCAAACCACATACTCCTGACTGCTCTTATTCAATGACTATTAGTCACTCTAACTTAAAGGCTGTAAGTCATCCTAGATTCATCTCTTTCATCCCTTACATTCTAAACATTTCTCTTTCTTCTTTATTCAGATTCTACCGAGTTCATTGAAGGACATGTCTTTAGCTGTATCACAGCTGCTGTGCGTTGGCCATCTGTCACTGGTGTCATTCAGTGACAACTTTACATTCTGACTCTCATTGTCTTACTCTCCACACTGTTCCTATCATTATTCTTAGTGCCTAGTCATGCGTGTTGATAATTTAGCTAACAACCTGGCCTGCTCGTGGCCTTTTACTTCCATAGTCACCTCTGAAATTGCATGTTCTTGTCACCCAAACTCTAATCTCTTTCTGTGCTCCTACTTAAAATTCTTTTGATCCTATACATTTTTACTTCTGTCCTTACCCAATTTAGATTGTATACTTATTCTTTTATAAACATCTTCAGTTGCCTTGCCTTCCACTCTATTTTACAACACAATTGGCTGAACTCCAAGCCATGGTGAAACCTGCTGTGTGCCTGCTGCTTGCTGTTTGACCACAGATTTATGACCACACATTCAAGTATGAATTAAGAACTTCCCAACAATCTCCTGCATTCTCTTGTAAGTTCCCTTTCTCACTATCCAAGACGACTGTTTAATACCTCTTTCTCCCTACCGCTTCCTCCAGCTTTCAGATGGAGCCATTAGAAAAGAATTCTTTTAGAGCCTTTGCCTTATCTACAAATCCTCACCATCTTTTCTGTCCCAGAAGACAGATATCTGGGTTTTTCAAAGACCGATTTCTGTGCATGCTTTGGAATCAAGGACTTTGGTTCCTTTGTTATTGCATTTCTCTCTCCTGAATTGTTCATCTTTTCCTCTCTACTAGATCATTCCCATCTATACTAATAAAAGGGTAATATGCTAATTAGACCAGTTAGACCAGATGTCTTCCAGATGTCCTTCCAGACAAAGTCTCGGGTATGAGGGTTGAGGAGGGCTGGCAGCCGGCAGTGGCAGCAGCATTAGGGTGATGGGAGCGGCTCCTTCCCCTGATGGGCTGGCTGCCTCCGGCAGAGAGAGGCCAGAGGGGAGCGGGCCTAAGTAGTTAGTAGGACATCCCCTGAGGGCCCCCGGACTGTGAGAGGGGGCAGGCTGAGCTGAGGGGACCTCTCCTTTCCCCCAGTGCGTGAGTTTTCATGCACCGGGCCTCTAATAAATATATAAATATGCTCTGGAATCACCTATGTTTAAACAAAGAGAAGTAAACAAATATTTTCTTTATTATGTCTTTTAGCTGCTGTTTCCTTTTTCTGTTCTCTTTTTCTAGTCAGTCTTTTTGCTAATTTTCCCCTACAATTTGCTTTGAATATATTTTAAAACTTTTTAAAATACTGAGGTAAAATTCACACAACAAAATTATCATTTTAAAGTATATAATCCAGTGGTATTTAGTATAGTCACAATTTTGTGCAACCTATATCAAGTTTCAATAGAAGAAAACCATGAAACGGGCACTCTTCCCTCCCTTCCCTCTACCCCTGACAACCTCCAATTTGCTTTCTGTCTTTATGGACTTACTTATTCTGGATATTTCATACAAATGGAATAATACAATATGTGACCTTTTTTTGTCTGGCTTCTTTTACTTAACATGTTAAGTGTCCAGCCTGTTTTGTCTTCCGGACGGAAAGTATAGTGTCAGTCACCAGTGACTGACTGGGTGCTTAATGTGTTAATATAATGTTTTGGAGATTCATCCATGTTATACATGGATCAGTACTTCATTACTTTTTATGGCTGAATAATATCTCATTGTATGTATATATCACATTTTATTGATCCATTTATCTGTTGATAGACATTTTGATTATTTCTTCCTTTTGGCTATTGTGAATAAGGCTGCTATGGCATTCATGTACATGTATTTGTGGCCCATGTAGTTTCTTTTGCACCTATTAGTTCTGCCATTGTTTCAGGAGACTATCCATAGTTACTATGTAAATGATGGGCACCTTTAGATTTGACCAGAGGCTGGCTAGATTTGGCCTGAGGGTCATAGTTTGCTGATCTCTAGCCAAAAATATTTGATATCCATCTAGTGGCCTCAGAATTTGGGAGGGGGGAGTAGATGGTTTGCTACTTTGAGCAATATATTTCTAAAGCATTGGTGTTCCAGGAGGAAGAGCCGTTTGAGAGTTCCAGTGAGGAAGAGTCTGGTACTGAGGACCAGAGTCTAACTTCTGTGGTTGATGTTGAAGACCTCGGCAACATTATGAATCATGTCAAGAAAGAAAAGGTAGTGTAATTTTGGGAAATAGTGAACTGGGATCCCTCAGTGAGTTAACATCTAACATTCTGTATTAGTCCACCTGAGATCATATGATAATTAGACAGTTTTATTTATTTGCCTCCTGTCTTGAGAGTTTTATACTTCTTTGTACTTTTACATGAACTCTGTGAAAGTCTTCCCTCTTGGCCCTGTGAAAATGAATTTGTAGTAGGATAGGCAGAAGATTTTTAGGATAAGGACTGAGGAAAGGCTGGGGGGGACTTCATTCATTGTGTAGCTGAAGGTGACAGGATGACTGCATGGTAAGACTGATTAGTGTTAGGATTTCAAGTGGAGCTCTTGTGTATAGTTGCCTTCCTGTTTTACGGACTGAGCATGTTGGGTTTAGGGATGATGGTGGCTCAGTCTGCAGGTGTTGAGATCCATGGGGTGGAAGCCCTAAGAATCTAGGAAATGTTAGTGTGAGTTGTCATTGTCTCAGTGACTCAACAAATGCGAGAATGTAGGAATTTGGGCAGATTCCAGTGATCTAAAATTGAAATAACATAAAATATACAATTATATAAAAACATAAAATCTCAATTTATGTGTGAGTTTTGGGAAATGAGAATATTCTAAACTAAAAATGTATCAAGTGCATAAGTTTTAGAAACAAAATAAGTAAAACTATGGAAAAATCCAAGAAAATTAATCATAAAAGTAATGCAAACTCAAATGAAGAGATTTAATAAGGTAGCAGGATATCATAGGTAAAAAGTAAAAAAGATTTTGTATTTCCAAACAATAACCAGTTAGAACTTGTCACGGAAGGAAAGACCACAAAAAAATAAATGACTGCCGAAACCGGTTTGGCTCAGTGGTAGAGCGTCGGTCTGCGGACTGAAGGGTCCCAGGTTTGATTCCAGTCAGGGGCATGTACATTGGTTGCGGGCACATCCCCAGTGGGGGGTGTGCAGGAGGCAGCTGGTCGATGTTTCTCTTTCATCAACGTTTCTAGCTCTCTCTCTCCCTTCCTCTCTGTAAAAAATCAATAAAATACATTAAAAAAAATAAATAAATGACTACATAGAAATACGTTAAAAAAATATATCCTAATTCTATGTGAGGAAAACTTTAAAACATTTCTGAAAGATATGGCAGTGCCCTGAACAAGTGGGAAGACATCTTGTTTTTGGGTATGATGACTCAGTACCGCAAAGATGTCAGTTCTTTTAAGTTAATACAGAGGTGATGCAATTCATTAAAAATTTCAATAATTTTTTTTCCTGGAAATACACTGGTTGATTCATATGGAAAAATAAACATGCAAGAACAGCTAGGAGAACCTTGTGGGGAAAGTATTAATGAGAAAGGCCAGATCTATCAGATATTGAGTCTTACTCCAAGACTTCTGGTACTAGCTCCTGATGAGACAGACCGACCAAGGGAACAGTAAAATTCTAGGAATAGACCCAGGTATATACAGAAATTGCGTATATGAGAAAGGTGACATCTCTTTTCCCTAGTGTGAAAATATATTTTAAAAATAAATGATGTTGACAACTGGATACTAGTTGTGAAAAGAAGAAACTGGCTCTGTACTTATACATACTTCACGTACAGGTATTTGACTCTAATTGGTCAGAGATCTAAATGTTGAAGAAATATATAAATAGTAGAAATTGATGCACTATTTTTTAACTTAGAGAAAGGTTTTCAATCTGATTCAAAATCCAGAAGTTATGAAAGATTGAATTTACCAGTGAGTTTTATAAAGATTTACAAACAAAATCAAAAGACAAATGATAAAGTGAGGGAAAATATTTGAATTAAAAAAAAGACGACCTAGACCTAATAGAAAAAATGGCAAAAAAATGAATAGGTCTCAGAAAAAGCTCTATAAATAGACTTAAAGACATATGAAAAAAGTGCTCAAATTAAAACTGCAGTGACCTACATTTCTCACCTACCAAAATAACAAAAATTCAAAAATTGGGCAGCACATACAATTGGTGAAGGCTCTGGGAAATAGGCGCTCACACTTTGCCAAAGGGGGTCCAGAATTATATAACATGTTTGGAGTGCCCTCTGGCATTCTTGACCAAATGTGCACACATTTACCCATGATCAATCCAGCAGGCCCAGTTGTATGTATTTGCCTTGAAGATAAATCTTCACAAATGCAAAGCAGTAACTGGACAAGGGTATGCCTCACAGCATATATACCAAACAACTGTCGGATATTGAAGAAAGCATGGTATATCCACAAAATACAATATTGTTGTGCAGTTGTGAAACATAAGGTGTATCTATATCATTAATATGAAAATGCGTTAAATATCTAAAAGTCTGACAGATGTTAGAATGAGAAGTAAGTTTGCTTAGACATTTTAACTTGGGTTACTACCGTGTTTCCCCGAAAATAAGACATCCTCCGAAAATAAGACCTAGCGCATGGAAAAATAAGACATCCCCTGAAAATAAGACCTAGTGCATCTTTAGGAACAAAAATTAATATAAGACACCGTCTTATTTTCGGGAAAACAAGGTAGTATATGTTTTTCTAGAGTAGATTAGTCTATTTGAGGTTTTCTACTGTTATAACTAGCATGGGTCTAGATCATCTTTACTTTTAAAAACATGTTAATATTTTCTTAGGTTATATTTTTTCAAAGTTGATATACTAGATCAAAACAAATGTATAATTTTATGGCCCTTGATTAAAAAACTCAGTAATTTTCAGTGGTAAAACTGTCTTAAGACAGAATAGATTTCAGTGCATGAGATAACTGATATAGATAGATTTCTGGATTTCCCCACAAGATTTAGAAAATATATAAAGCTTTATTTGTAGTGAATGAAGAACTTGGAATAGTTCCCCCCCCCCCCAACTCTATTGAGGTATAATTGACAAAAAATGTATATATTTAGGTTGTTCAGCATGATTTTTGATAAGATTATTATGTGATGATATATGTTCACTGTGAAATGATTGCTGCAATCAAATTAACACATTCATCACCTCATAGTTACCTTTTTGTGTGTGTCTTGAGAACACTTAAGATCTAATCTCAACCAATTTCAAGTATACACTAAAAGTTTGGAATAATATGTGGGTTCATTTTTTTATTGTTTAAGATATTACAAATAGTAATACAATATGTCTTCTTCCTCCCCCGCCCTCCCCAACTGACTTCCCCCAACCTCCCCTACTCCCTGGCACATGCCCTCATCCCCCTCCTAGTGTCTTGCGTCCATTGGTTACGCTTATATGCATGCATACAAGTCCTTTGATTGATCTCTTACCTCCCCCCAAACCTCCCCAGCTTTCCCACTGTCATTTGACAGTCTGTTTGATGCTTCTCTGCCTCTCTATCTATTTTTGTTCATCAGTTTATAATGTTCTTTATTATCTATAAATGAATTAGATCATGTGGTATTTTTCTTTCACTCACTGGCTTATTTCACTTTTTCTTTGCTTATTTATCTTATGTCCATTAGAGGGCACTGAAGAAAAGTACTACAGAAAAATTTGGATAGCCTTGTAAAGTATTGTGTGAAATGAAGTGATTTTGAAATTTGTGAACTTTAAGAAGTTGATTTAGCCCGGCTGTCATGGTTCAGTGGTTGAGCTTTGACCTATGAACCAGGAGGTCATGGATGCCGGTCAGGGCACATACCCAGGTTGCGGGCTTCCCTGTGTGGGGCATACAGGAGGCAGCCGATCAGTGAGTCTCTGTCATCATTAATATATATTTTTCTAAAATATATTTTATTGATTTTTTACAGAGTGGAAGGGAGAGAGATAGAGAGCTAAAAACGTCGATGAGAGAGAAACATCAACCAGCTGCCTCTTGCACACCCCCTACCAGGAATGTGCCTGCAACCAATGTACATGCCCTCGATCGGAATCGAACCTGGGACCTTTCAGTCCGCAGACCGATGCTCTACCACTGAGCCACACCGGCTTCGGCCATCATTAATATTTTTATTTCTCTCTTTCCCTTCCTCTGAAATTAATAAAATATATATTTTAAAAAAAGAAGTTGGTTTATGACATTTCAAGTGACTAAAAAAAAAAATCTTTTATAAAACCATTAGATTTTGGATAAAATATATGTATTTTTCCAATTTCATTATGATTTGAAAATAAGCCACTCATTTTTGTTTTACATTATTGTTTGGTTATGGCAGAGTTTCCAAATATGTCTTGTGTTTTTATTATATGTTAGACGTAGTACAGTAAACTCAGTGATGGATGTTATTACTGCTTTCTTTGGGGATCATTCTCACTTATTCCTGAGCTCTTTCAGCCGATCATTGTTATGTATTACACTAAATTTCCTGAGTTGTTACTATAGAGGAAGCTCTAGTACTTGAAGCTCTAGGGTAGGGGTGTTGAACTCAATTAGAGAAGGGGCCAAAATCTAAAATCCAGCCTAAATCGCGGGCCAAATGGTTTACTGAACAGTCATAAACTGTCATTGTGATGGAAATGCAGCGGAATGCAGTGATGACAGCGCGGTGCGGGCCACATTGCAAGGCCTGGCGGGACGGATTTGGCCCGCGGGCCTTGTGTTTGACACATGTGCTCTAGGGCCAAAGTACTCCTATTATAAGACCTCTTTTTGAATAATACTACTTTAATGGAGTTACACTGTCTTAGCTTGTGGTCTCTTGGCGAGTTATTTCATTTTCTGTGCTTCAGTTTTCTCATCTCTAAAGTGGGACCAAATAATAGCAGCTGCCTTTTCAAGTTTTTATGAAGATTGTCTACCAATGGTCTTCGGCACCAATTCAACACCAACAGGAACCCCCAATTTGGAGTGTAGTGAAGAAGGAAACTTTATTCAATGCAAACAGATCAATCATGATACCACTCAATTATGAACAGCATAAGTATGGAACAGCACAGCTGTGAGGTGGCCCTCAGGGGAGGTCTCTTTCTGACACCTCTGCTTTAGCCCATTCTGCTCTGCCTTGGTCTGCCCTCTCTGGTCCTGTAAGATGTCTTTGGCGTTTTTGCTCCAGTGGGGAAACGTAGTCTTTAGTCTTGGGGGAGAAAGGGAAAGTGTGCTACCAGAATCAGAGAGGAACTGACTTATGTAGAGAGAAGTCCCTGCTTCTGGTTTCTGCTTGGTCTGTCCTCATGCAAATGAAGACTCCAAATTCTCACTGTTTAATTGGCTCACAAAATACTGTCAGAATGGATTGCTCTGATTGGTTGGTGAAGATGTTAATGATATAGCTGGGTAGCTGTGATTGAATGGTGAAAGTCTTAGTCTATTATTTGAAATATGATTCCAGAAACTCCTTTTTAAAGATTGGCTCACATTGCAGGAACACAGTGCAGGCAGGCAGTTCAGTGTGGAAGGCAGGCTACTTAGTGCGCGCATACACACACACACACACACACATATATATGCTAATATGCAAAGTGTCCTCTCAGGAGACTGGGAGTTTGATCACTCACTATGGCGTGCACTGACCACCAGGGGATGGTGCAAAATGAAGAAATGCCCGGGCCAGTGGTCCCGAGCCAGTAGCTGGAAAGGGAGACCCTATTGGCAGCCATAAGGCCCCGTTTGGCCCTGATTGCTGGCCAGGCCTAGGGACCCTGCCCATGCACATGCCCAGATTTTATGCCCCGGACCTCTAGTTATCATTGTAAGAAGATGCCTTCAAATGAGCTAGATATGGTTCAACTAGTATACCACCATGATCTACCTTCTTCCCTTGGTAGGAAGGTGTACGACTAATTCTAGAGCTGAAAGGAATTTGAAGGGTGGGAGTGATGTTCAAGCACAAGAGAGCTAGAGTTTGAAACACTGGAAAGCTAGGAAGACATGCAGAGGGGATGGTGTGCTAGGCAGCATAGCATGTTTAGGGAATTAAGTAGTTTTGTGTGTAGAGGTGAATGGGGATGGGGATGTGTTGAGAAGTGAAATGGAGAAGTAAGGTGAGGGCAGGGTTCTGGAGGTCTTTTATGCCCTGTCACGGGCATGTGAGCTTTATTCTAAAGGCAACAGGACACGTGTGTTCATTTGATTGAATAGGATGAGTGTGTTGAGTTGTGGGGATGGAGGGAGTTCCAGTGTGTAGGTTTGGAGTATTAGGAGAAATCAGAGTACACATTGGGTTATCTCATTCAGTCCTCAACATGACCCTGATATCTGTACTATTATCATCCTCACTTTACCATTTCACAGGGTAAGAAGCAGGCTTGGAGAACTGTAGCATTTGCTCAGTTAAAGGGCTGGCTGGTAAGTGGTGGGAATCCAGCCTAGACTCATCTCTGTTTCATGCCTCTTTGCTGCTTCTCCAGAGGGAAGTTAGAAGAATTCGGGTAGAGAACAGTGAGTCAGGAAGAGCCTGATAATTCTTATGCTGTTTATCTTTTCTTTCATGTTATGATTGTAAATGTAAAGGGGATTGCTATTTTTTTTCTGCAGTAAGTAAATATTGTTAAACGCTCCCCACAGCAAGCAGACAGGCAGTGATATCAGTATCATTAGTATTGGAAATAAATGGTGAGTGCTTGGTAATTACTCACCAGAGAAACATTTGCATTTACAAAAGTATTTCTGTGTTTCCAGTTCTGATTATAAAGTTGCATAAGACTGCAGTGGAACAACATGAAGCTAGTTCTTTCATAATTATTTTTAAGGTTTCCAGTGTTTAACTCACACAGAAACAAAAGGTGACATCCATTCAACTACAGGACACTGCCTTTAAATCACCCTACTCAGCTGTGGCCTGTGCAGGCTGTCTTAATAGTAAATTCCTTAAGTCAGGCTATCCAAAATAGAATCATTGGGTCAGAGGAAAACCGTTTTAGAGCTCTTGACACGCCTGGTCAAGCTGCTTTGCAAAAAGTTCACGCAGCAACCTTAAAGTCTAGTATACACAAAAAGCTTTGAGTCCTGTTGAAAACTGGTCATTTAAAAACTGAGCTCTGACAAGTGAGTGGTATATAGGGGATTTGTTTATTAGAGAAATAGGTTCTGCAGAAATGGGGTTAAATTGCAGCAGGTGGAGTTTTAATTACCCCTGAGGAAGACTTTAATATTGAAAGTTTCGAGATCTAGAATGAGTTACTAAAAGAAGTGAGCTCTGTTTTTCTAGAGCTAGAAATACCTGTCTAGTAGTTTTGAGGCATTTATTCCTCATTCCAAATAAGCCAATATCTACTGAATGTTTATTCTGTGCTACTATGGCTTCAGACTAAATAGGCTGACTGTAGAGAAAAATGACCTGGGGATTCTGTATCCAACATCTGTGCAAATTAGTAAGGAAAGGGATCACCTGATAGTAAACAAGGATCAATTTCTCTAGTGATGGGGCATGGATGATGTTCCATTGCCATTCTTTGAAGAGTACATTATATTCATTACATAATATAATGAAGTTTGTTGTTTGTGTTCTCAACCACAAGAGGGTGTTTGTAGAGTTCTGAGCACAGTGGTCAGAGGCCAATGTCATGGATTGGCTCCACTTTTGTGTTTATGTGGCCTTTGTGGTAAGCAAATAAACTCAGTGATGTTTTGTGGTGACAGTGGCTTTCAAGAGTAAATACTGCCACCTTTCAATTCTTGGAATTATTTCAGACATTTATGCTGTGGAATTATTTCAGACATTTAAATGTGGTCAAGGACAAGGTTGTTTCTTTTAGCTCCACCGCAAGTCTTTCTTTTTAGCTCACTTCTTTGATTTTAGGTCTGAAATAGACTTATAAAAAAGCCAAAGGACTCTTTTTTAAAGCGTATACCTTAAAATAACTGGATCCTTTTAATTTATCAAACATGTGTCAGACTGATCTCTCTATACAAAAGCCAAGTGTCTGACCATTCTACTGCACTGGCATGCACTGACCACCAGGGGGAAGACACTCCAACTGGTAGGTTAGCTTGCTGCTGGGGTTCCATGGATCCAGACGGGGCGACATTGACCAGACATGCCCTGGAGCTAACCTCTGGTGGTACCCCTCCACCCTGCCCACCTTTAAAAGATTTCTTCTAATTAATTTCCTTTCAATGTGCACAAATCTGTGCACTGGGCTTATTTTTATAATAGATAAGAACAGAAAATGTTTGTTTATAAGTTCAATTCCATCTGAAAATATGTAGTTGAGAACTCTACTAACAGAAGCAAATTTTCTCTTAACTTTGCATTTAGATTATATTTAGCAGTTTGGAATGCTAACTTTTAGGACAGATAGAATTAACTGGGTTTGTTTCTCATTTGGTACACTTTATTCTAAAGCACCTTTCCACTGAATTCCTACTTCAGAGTAAGTCCCTGAGGTAACAGAGAAGGTAGAGATGTTAGCTCTGAATTTCATCTGTTTACCTTTCTCTATTAAAACAAATATTTAGTATGTTTCACATTTTATGTATAGAGAACATTGAACATTCACAAAAGTAGACAGAATGATAGACTGAATCCCTATCACCTGTTGCCCAGCTTCAACCATGGACTGTCCTCTCTTCTGTATTAGTTTGATTTAGATCTCAGACATCTTGTCATCTGTGAGTTGTTTTCATTTTCAGGTGGAAAGAGTATTACTGTGAGTTCTGCTCACTGATTCACTGGGGGCTGGACATTAGAAAAGGGCAGTCTAGGGCTTGGTGGTAGGGCTGCTGTCAAGAGGAATTATTTTGAATTTCTGCAGCTTTTATTAAAATCTGATGAGTGTTGCCTTTAAAGTATAGCACAGACTTTGTGTATTGTCTGAAAATATTAATTTGCTCTTTACCATCTTTCAAAAAGACATTGCTATAACTTAAAAAAATGTAAATGTACATATACTAAGATTTAAAAAGAGAGGAAAAGCCCATGAAAAAAACCTGAATGAGGGTCACTTACAGAAACTACAAGACCTTATACAGTGGTCAGCCGTGTGCTGTGGAATTTTCTAGTGGTCAAAGTAAAAAGGAAACACAATCCATTTTATCCTTCAGATGTCTTCCTCTTAGTGAAGACAAATTTTCCTCATGGGATCTTGTAAAGCAGCGTTTGCCACCCTTTCGGATCTCACGGACCTTTAGTGGTCCGCAGACCACCGGTTAGCGACTGCTGTTCTAAAGGAGCTACTGGGGCATCAGGTGGAGGTTGTGGAATAACTTGGTCTCTGAGCAGATGGTTGTCTGGGAAGCCCAGAGTTGTTTTTTTTTGTTTTGTTTTTTTTTAATAAATATATTTTATTGATTTTTCACAGAGAGGAAGTGAGAGAGGGATAGAGAGTTAGAAACATTGATGAGAGAGAGACATCGATCAGCTGCCTCTTGCACACCCCCTACTGGGGATGTGCCCGCAACCAAGGTACATGCCCTTGACTGGAATCGAATCTGGGACTTTTCAGTCCGCAGGCAGACGCTCTATCCACTGAGTCAAACCGGTTTCGGCCCAGAGTTCTTTTTTGACTTGTATTTGGGGTTTGCAGATTCAGTAACTGTAGTAGCTATAATTTATTGAACTCTATTATGTGTCAGGCATTGTGCCAGGTGGTTTTAGTTCAATTAATCTTCAATCCATTCCTGCTCCATAGATACTACTTTCCCCCTTTTTCAGGTGAGGAAATTGAACCTCAGAGAAATAACTTGCTGAAATTATGTAGCGGTTTGTACTCAGTGTGCTAAAATATTTGACATGTAGATATGTGCTTATTGATTTATGTTTTGTGGGTGTATGTAGCTACTTAAAAAAAAAAAAGACTGGCTTGTCTTTAGATTATTGTCTGACTGAAAATGTGATCATTTTAGTGAGAACAGGGTTGTGGGGCCATGGTTCATGATGAATCTTTTTGTTCATGCTACCTGTTCATGATTGCTGTGCTGTTATTTTCATTGTGCATTACCATTTCTGGCTTTCACTCTTTTTTTTATTTTAATGCAGGAAGAGAAAACTGGTTTGTTCAGGAACACTGTGAAGAGTGAAGACAGTGAAAGAAGAGCTATGATTACTCCTGCTCTCCGAGAAGCCCTTACCAAGCAAGGTGAAAGCCCTTAAGAATTGTTGTTATAATACTATGTTTTAAGCATTCTAATTTAATACCTGAAAGCAGAAGCATAAAATTGGGATTGCCAAGGGGAAAGTAGGTGGTGAAGTCCTTCTCTAGCCCAGCGTCTGTGTTGCTGTGCCAGTTGTAGCTGTCTAGGGAGTCTTGTTTCTGTGGATCACTGTGTGTTGACTGCCTGGGCCACCATATTCCTCTTTGCGTGATTTATTGGGATGTTAGCAACTCTGTGGCTCAGGTATACAGAAAGAAAATACCATTACTGACTTCTTTACAAATCATTGTTTATTCAGGGAAAAATTTTAAATACAGAAAAAAGAACATACTTGATATTATGCTGGGTTAATTAGAAGTGTTTTATCTATAATAGAAGTATATCTGGATTTTTATGGTTATACCTTATTAAAGAGGCTGTAGTCAAATGTACAAATAATATTGTTGAATTATATTTTTTATGGAAGAAAGACAAGAATTGGGAGTCAATAGACTGACTTTCTCCCCTCTCTCCCTCTTTAGTGAGAACCTTTTATGTGATGGTTATGACGATGCAGAAGAACGTAATACATTATCTCCCTCAAGGAGCCTTTAGTCTATTAGAGGAGACAGACAAGAATATACAGATTTTATATATAAATCTGTTTGTATATCTAAAAGTATTAAATATACATAAATATTGTTATATATAAATATATAAATACATATATTTGTCTTTTAATTAGGATATAAGGACTATTTAAAGTGATTTTATGGTATGTTTAAATCTATCATGTTGCTGTTCATTTTCTGCTTGTTTCCTGTTCTTTGATTCTCTTTTTCCTGTTTTTCTGCTTTTTAGATTAATTTTTTAATAGTTCTGTTTTTGTTTTTAAATATATTTTTATTGATTTTAGAGAGGAAGGGAGAGAGAGAGGAAAATAGAAACATCAATGATGAGAGAGAATCATTAATTGGCTGCCTCCTGCACACCCCCACTGGGAATCAAGCCTGCAAAACAAGCATGTGCCCTTGATGGGAATCAAACCTGGGACCCCTCTAGTCCATAGCCCAACGCCTTATCCACTGAGCCAAACCAGCCAGAGCAATAATTCTGTTTTATATCCTATGTTAGGTTATTAGTTATTGTACTCTTTGTTATTTAGTGGTTACTTGAGATTTTTATACTAGATCTCTTTATTGTATCATAGAATGTCTTTGTGTGGTGGTACACCACTTCATGCAGAGCAACCTTCAATAGTATATTTTCTCCTCAACCTCTATGCAGTTGTTATCATATGTTTTACTTTTTACATGTTATAAACCCAATGCTAAATTGTTATTATTTATTTTGGTTTAGTGAATATCTATTAAATATTTAAATAATTAGAAACAATTAATATGTTAACTTATGTAGTTACCACTTTTGTTGCTTTTCATGCCTTTGTGTAGATCTGAGTTCTCTCTGATAGCTTTTCCTTCTGCCTGAAGGACTTACTTAAGCATTTCTTGTGGTGTAGGTTTGTTGATGAAGACATTTCAGCTTTTGTATATCTTAAAAAGACTTTATTTTGCTTTCATTTTAAAGGATGTTTCTGATGGATATAGAATTGTAGGTTGACAGCTTTTTTCTTTTTTTCTTTTTTAAAAAAAATATATTTTATTGATTTTTCACAGAGAGGAAGAGAGAGGGATAGAGAGTTAGAAACATCGATGAGAGAGAATCATCGATCAGCTGCCTCTTACACACCCCCCACTGGGGATGTGCCCGCAACCAAGGTACATGCCCTCAACCGGAACCGAACCCAGGACCCTTCAGTCCGCAGGCCGACGCTCTATCCACTGAGCCAAACCGGTCCCCGCTGACAGCTTTTTTCCTGTCATGTTGTTCCACTGTTTGTTTACGTTGCTTCTGATGAGGGCTCTGCAGTCATCTTCTATTTGAATCTCTGAATGTAATGTTTTAACCCCTGGCTATTTGTAAGATTTCCTCTTAATTACTGATTTTGAGCAATTTCATTTTAGTGTATCTCAGTGTAGGTTTTTTTTTTTTTTTCATGTTTCTTTTACTTGGGATTTGTTGAACCACTTGGTTCTGGATTTATAGTTTTAGTTAAATTTGGATAAATTTTGGCTGTTATTTCTTCAAATATTTTTTGTCACTTCTCTCTCCTCTTCTTCGGGCATTCTAATTACATATATCATAAGCCACTTGAAGCTCACTGATATTTATTTTCACATTAAAAAAAAGTTTTTATCAATTGTTAAAGAGAGAAAAAAAGGGAGAGGAAGAGAGAGGTAGAAACATTGATGAGAGAGAAACATTAATCAGTTGCCTCCTGCACGCCCCTACTAGGGATTGAGTCCCGACCCTGGGCATGTGCCCTGACTAGAAATTGAACCTGCAACTCTTTGGTGCACACGCTGATTCCCCACCAACTGAACCAAACTGGCTGGGGCTGCTCTTTTCATTTTTTAAAATTATTTTTTCTGTCTCATTTTACATTTTGGGTAGTTTCTAATGCTATGTCTCAAAATTTACTTCAGCAATCATTTCTTCCCTAATATCTAATCTTCCATTAATTCTATTCAGTGTTTTTATTTATTTATTTATTTATTTATTGCATAGATATTGTAATTTTCATCATTAGAAGTTCAGTTGCGTTTTTTTTATATCTTCCATGTCTCTACTTACATTTTCAAGCCTAAGGAACATAGTTATAAGTGTTTTTAATGCCCTAATCTGCTAACATATATGCTAATTCTGGTTACTGGATAATTTTCCTCATTATTGGCCATGTTTTCCTATCTGTTTGCATGCTTGGTAATCTTTTATTGGATGCTATATCTAATTTTACTTTATTGGGTTCTATATATTTTTGCATTTCTATAAAAATTCTTGAGCTTTGTTGTGGTGGGAATAAAATAAAATACTTGGAAGCAGTTTTGAACTTTTTAATCTTTTATGGCTTGTTAGGTGAGACCAGACCAAGCTCTGTACAGCTAATTATTTCCCCATATTGAGGCAAAATACTTCTGTACACTCTGCCCAAAGCCTTGTGAATCTGGAAGTTTTTCTGTCTGGTTGGCACAGTTCCTACCTGGCTGTGAGTACCAGATACACCTCTAATGTACCTGTCAGATGGTTCTTTCCCATTCTTGGGTAGCTTTTCTTTCACATATGCACTAAGCAGGACTCATGCAAATACTTATAGGAATCCTCTGCAGCCTCTTGAGTTCAATCTCTGTGTAACTTTTGTCTCTCAGGTACATAGTCCTGCTAACTCTAGCCATATGGGCTCCTCATACTCTCACTTCCATGTCCTCAACTAAGGGAGAACACTGAGTTTTATGTGGTTTCCACCTTTCTACAGGGCTTGACACTTTTAAGTAAGCTTGGGTAATGGTAGGGTTCACCTTGTTTGGTTTCCATCTCTGGGATTACCATTTTTTGTTGCCTGATGTTTCTTATCTTGAAAACTGTTGTTTTACATATTTTATTATCCATTTTTGGTATTTCAGGTGGGAGAGTAAACCATCTGTTACTCCATCTTGTTTAGAAGCAACTGCATGTTGGGTTGTTTTGGCGTTGTGTTCAGCCACAAGTTTCTCATTTCTGTACTGTGTAGTTGTTTCTTTTTGTTTTTTTTTTTACCTAGCTAATGCAAAATTTTGTAGAGCCCTATATATCTTGGAAGAGATAATATAAAGAACTAATATAATATAGAGTGTAGTTTCTGTAATAGTGATATGAACAACACATAATGTAGGAATCCAAAAGAACTAGAATTTTCCCTGGGAATCTTTGAAATGTTTATTTTCTATCTGAGATTAGCTATTCAGTTAGACACGGTTTCATCTTCAGCTAGATAAGCACTGCTTTGTTTATTTTTTATTCGGGATGTTTACATAAATGTGGATGAGGATAAAAGACAAAATCCTGTAATGTTGCCACTAGAGACTTGTAATCTAAATTGAGATTGTTCCATTAATCATTACTGTGCATATGGATGTTTAACCAGCCACTGATCTACTTATGTCATCATCCAGACTGTATTTCTCCATTTACCTCATTTGTCTGGAAGAGTCTTTTTGTGCAAGAGACTCATAATTATGGTTTATTACTTGAAGCCTCATGAGAAGCTTTATTAAATGTTTTTGGAAGTCAGAATGTTCTTCTTGTTTGCTCTGCTAGTTTGTTATAAAAGGAAATAATGCTTGTTTTGGCATGGCTTTTCCATGTTTTTCATGTCTTAAGTGCCTCAAAAATTTTAAATGGTAGGTTGTAGAGTGGTGCTGAGAATTCACGTTAGGTCCTCGAATTTGATTTTTCCACTTTTTTTTTTTTTAGCAGTATTTCTTTATTTTAATCTGTTGTCCCTCTGATTCTTCTTTTTTTTTAAAAAATATTTTTATTGATTTTAGAGAGGAAGGGAGAGGGAAATAGAAATAGCAATGATGAGAGGGAATCATTGATCATCTACTTCCTGTATGCCCCCTACCAGGGATTGAGCCCACAACTTGGGCATGTGCCCTGACCAGAAATTGAACCATGATCTCCTGATTCTTAGGTTGGTACTCAAACACTGAGCCAAACCTGCCAGGCTGATTCTTCATTTCAAATATATTGTTACTTACTTTTACTTTATGGTACAGCCTGTAGTTCATTTTTATAGCTGTTCCTTGCATCTTTGAAAAGCATTTCTGTAGTTGTTATTGCAGTGCTGTGAGTCCTTGATGAGGTTTGCTGTGTTGCTCAGATCTTAGAGCTCTACAGAGTTTCATCTGTGAGATCTGTTAGACACTGAGAGATATTAAAATCTCTCCCTATGATCTTGGGTTAGCTTATTGTTTCTTTATGTATTTTGAGAGTGTGTTATTAGATGCATACACATTTTAAGTTGTTTTATCATCTTATTGAATTAAACTTTTAAAGACTCCTGCCACTGGGTTGTTGTCTATCATTATTTAAGCAATGGAAAAAGATTTTGCTTCTTTTATAAGCACCTTCTGATATAAGGCTTTGAATCAATTCAATTTTGTGTTCACTGTTTTTCCATTTAGGTTATCAGTTGATTGGGAGCCATTCTGGGGTGAAGCTTTGCAGGTGGACAAAGGTATTTGTCTTTATGCACTTTTTGTGTGGCTACTATATGCAGTTAATGAATTTTACCATTTTAAAGTTACAGTTTACATTTAATAAAATGTAGTGATTTTGAATGAATTTGTTGAATGAGTTCAGCAAATTTTTATGGATGTAAAAAACCCGTATCCACCACTCCAAAATAGAAACAAAGGCATGGATACATGGAACTGACTGACAGCTAGCTGTCAGAGGCAGGGGAAGGGGACTGGATGAAAGAAGATGAAGGGGTCAGCTAAAGAACATATATGTATAACCGAGAGACACAGACATCAGTGTGGTGATGGCCAGAGGAAGGCGGTCTGGGAGTTGGGTAGAGGTGGGCAAAGGGGAGGAAAATGGGGGTATTGGTAATAGTGTCACTAATAAACATAAAGATTAGAAGAAAAGATATAGACTATTTTTCTTATCCTGTAAGTTTACTTGTGCTTATTTCTAGTCAGTACCCCCTCCTCCACAGTCAGGAAACAGTTGTTCTAGCCGCTCACTATAGTTTAATTTTGCCTTTTCTAGAATTTCATATGAATGGAATTATATCACGTGTAGTTTTTATTTTTGCCACATAACTTTTTAAACTCAGCATAATGTATCTTGGGTTTGTTCATGTTGTAGTATGTATCAGCAGTTCATGCCTTTTTATTGCTCAGTACTATTCAGTAATATGAACATATCAGTGTTTAATCTCTTGGTAGACATTTGGGTTGTTTTTCAGTTTTGGGCTATTAATGAATAAAATTGCTATAAATATTTTCATACAGTGCTTTTTTTGTGATGTACATTTTAATTTCCTTTGGTACATACTTAGGGGTGGAATTACTAGCTATATATTTAACTTTATAAGAAGCTCCCAATCTGTTCTCAGTGTGGTTGTACTATTTTATACTTGCATCAACAATGCATGAAAGTTCCAGTTGCTACATATTCTCACCATCATGTGGTGTTGCAGGTCTTTTTAATTTTAGCCATTCTAGCGAGTGTGAAGTGGTAGCAAGGTGGTTTTATTTTATTTTTAAATTTAATTTAATTTTAATTTTAATTTTAATTTAATTTAATTTAATTTATTTTATTTTATTTTATTTTCCTGGAATGCCTCTGCCCTCAATGCCATAATCCACAGCTGACCTTTGCTTAATACTTCAACTGCCTTGACGGTCTTTTCCAAGGGAACCTGCTTCTCCAAAGCCTGTTGTTTCAGAATATTGTATATTCTCAGCGTTTCTCTGCTGTATCCTTCTAGTGCCATCTGCTCCCTAGGCCAGTTGCTATCATTTGTGGATATCTGAGAAACTTTTTACTCATCTTTTTTATTACCCTCCCACATTTATTCCATGAGCAAATTTTTTCAAGACAATCCAGAATGCAACTTCTTTTTACCAATTATACTGCCATACCTTGGTCCAAATTACTGTAATATGTCCGTTGTTATTTCAGTGATTTTCTAACTGTTATTCTGGATCCACTCTTGCCATCATCCACTGTCTGTTTTCTACACAGCAGCCAGATGTTTCAGGCCATGCCACTGTTCCCAGAACCTCCAGGGGTTCCCATCTCACTCAGAACAAAACCCAAGACCTCAAGGGCCTGTGTGATCTGCTCTTACGGCTTCCTGAATGTGGAGTCCAAAGTCCTCTCCGGCTTTCTGGCCTCTGTCTGCTCTCAGAGAGCCTGTCAGAGAGGCTTTCCTGTGAAATAGCAACCTTCCCTCTTATTCTCTATGCTGCTTGGAATTCTTACATTATGCTTACTACAACTTAATAGACTATATCTGTGTATATTCTATCTCCAGTCAGACCCTCCTTAGCTGGACAAGTTCTGACCCATGTGTTCAGCTTTATTTTTCATTTTAACCTTCATACAATGTGTCCTGCTTCTCTTCCCTACTCTAATCTCCACCTGACCAAATCCTGCCCCTGTGTCAGTCAGGAAAACAGAAAACACCGGGATATTTTAGCAAGAGATTTAATATGCTGACCAAGCCGTTGGAAGACCTGGGGTAGTGAAGGTCAAAGAGAACTGCTTTGCTTTGAGAAAAATAAAAAAGTGTTAGACTCACAGGACACTGCTTCAAGTGACCCGAGTTGCTGGCAACATTAAAGCGAATGTCTCCCAGGAACTTCCTTGGAAGCTGCTGCAGACCAATGTTTGCTGTATGCCCTTGTGTCTGCCAGCTGCTGCCAGAGATGAATAATAGTTTCTCCTTTTGCCTTCTAAATCCATTTGCTTCTCATTGGTGGAGTCTAAGTCAGAACCTGTCAGACAGGGAATCAGAAATACTGTGTTAGGGTTACTAGTTATGCTTAGAAGGGCAGGCAGGGCTGAGTATTAACAGCACAGACTACCCTTTGGATACTCAGCATCTAATCAAACCCTTCTACCTATAAAACATTTGCTTCTGCCTAACTTGTTGCAACTATTACACATACATGGGAAGATACATTCACTCTGCCTTTAAAAGAGAGAATACTCTTTTGAGATCCTGTGCCTAAATGGATAACTACTGCTGACCCATCCATATATATAAAGAGGCAGGGGCCATCACATCTGAAACAACTGAATGGACGACCGGACAGGCTGAGTGGGGCGACAAGGCTAGCAGGACAAAAGACTGAACAGCAAGCTGCGTGGGGTGACCAGGCTGGCAAGGGGATTACTGAGGGATGACTAAATGACTGAGCAGCAGGCTGCGTGGGGCGACTAGGCTGGCAGGGGGCTTAGTGAGGGACAATCAAACGACTGAATAGCAGGCTGCATGAGGTGACCAGGTCAGCAGAGGGTTAGTGAGGAATGACCAAATGACTGAGCAGCAGGCTGTATGGGGCAACCAGTCCGGCACAGAGGGCAGTGAGGGGCGCCCAGGCTGGCCGAGGGCACAGTTGGCAGTAACCAGGTCAGCAGGGGGGATAGTTGGGGGTGACCAGGCCGGCAGGGGGGCCATGAGGGGCAAACATGCTGGTGGGGGGTAGTTGAGGGTGACTAGGCTGGCAGGGGGGCCATGAGGGGCAAACAAGCTGGCAGAGGGTGGCAGTTGGGGGCAACTAGGCCAGCAGGGGGGCCAGTGAGGGGTGACCAAGCCAGCACATGTGGCAGTTGGGGGCGACTAGACTGTCAAGGGAGGGGGGCAGTTAGGTGCGATTAGGTTGGCAGACAGAGGCAGTTAGGGGTAATCAGGCTGGCAGGGGTCCGGTTTGGGGCTATCAGGCAGGCAGGCAGGAAAGCAGGTAAGCAGTTAGGAGCCAGTGTTCCTGGACTGTGAGAGAGGTAGATATCCGACTGATGGTTTAGGCCTGATCACTTAGACTTCCCTCTAGGGGTCCCGGATTGGAGTGGGTGAAGTCTGGGCTGAGGGGAGTGGGCCTAAGTCGTCAGTTGGACATCCTTAGTGCTGCCACAGAGGCAGGAGAGGCTCCCGCCATTGCCGCTGTGTTCACCAGCTGTGAGCCTGGCTCAGGGCTTCTGGCTAAGCTGACCACCAGGGGGCAGCTCCTGCGTTGAGTGTCTGCCCCCTGGTGGTCATTGCGCATTGTAGTGACTGGTTGTTCTGCTGTTTGGTCGATTTGCATATTAGCCTTTTATTATATAGGATAGTTTATTATATAGGAGGAGAGGGTGAATATATATATCAAAGCAAGGAAGACATTATGGATTGATACAGCTCTCCTCATATTTGTACCAGGTCACCTGGTCATATTGGTATTTATCACTTTTTTTTTTCACTAACTAGGCCATGTTTCCTTTGTGTTCCATCAATATCTCACAGTATGATTCTTCCTTATCAGGTGGGTAATCCAGTCTGTCAATGAAGAGTTGAGCCAGTGGTGGCCCTTCTTACAATCCTAACTTTACTGCTGCATAGTGGAGTACTCAGAGATGCCCAGACATCCCCTTGGTTCCTGACATAATGTTTGTTTCTATGGCATGAGGAGCTCAAAGGAGCCCAGCTACAGTGTCCACTATCAAGAACTTTTGAGGGTGTGCTATTTTACCCTACTCACAAGCTAACACGTTAGCCTGGCAGAGTTTCATAGTGTTGGCAAAGAGCACAGGACTCCTGGGTGAAAGACAAAGCACAGCAGACATCTTGAGCTTCTGTGTTCACATTGATTCCTTCGCTCTCCTAATGTTATGAGGGTGATGTGGAGGTGGGCCCAGGGGAATGCTGGGTACACAGTGCATTTACGTTGCAGCTGAGAAACCTGGAGCTTAGGAAACCCCCAGTCTTATAAAAGGGTTCCTTGCAAACCTGTCCACCTTTGACTGGGAGGGAGACATCCTTTTTAAATTTTCAATTATAGTTGACATTCAATATTATTTTATATTAGTTTCAGGTATGAAGCATAGTGGTCAGACAATTATATAATTTATGAAGTGATTCCCTCTCCTTCCCCCACCCCCAATAAATCTAGTTTTACTAGGCACCATACATAGTCATTACAATATTACTTACTGTATTCTCTATGCTGTACTTTACATCACCATGTCTGTTTTATAAATATCAATTTGTACTTCTTAATTCCTTTACCCTTTTTACCCAGCTCACCAAACCCCCTCCCATCTGGCAACTCTCATTTTGTTCTCTGTATCTGTGAGTCTGAATCTGTTTTGTTTGTTCATTTTGTTCTTTAGATTTCACAGGTACTATAATAGTAAGTGAAATAATACAGTATTTGTCTTTCTCTGTCTGACTTATTTACCTTAGTATAATACCTTCTATTCATCCATATTGTTGAAAATGGTAAGATTTCTTTCTTTTTTATGATTGAGTAATATTCTCCTGTATGTATGTTCTTTATCTAATCATCTATTGATGAGTATTTGGGTTGCTTCCATATCTTGACTATTGTAAATAATGCTGCAGAGAACATAAGGGTGCATATATCCTTCTGAATTAAGGTCTTGAATTTCTTTGACTATATACCTAGAAATGGAATTGCTGGGTCATAAGGTAGTTCTATTTTTAATATTTTGAGGAACCTC